TTGGCAGCACAGTAAGTGCGTTGGAGTCAGTGAAGCTGAGGCTGATAGCGATGACTTTGAGTTTATATGCACTACTTGTAAACGTCGTGCTGAGGAAGCAGAGAAGGCTAAAGCTCACCCACCAATGAAGATTAAGCTTGGTCGACCTGGATCTTCTTCCTCCTCGGTGCCACCCAAACAAAATGGCGTTCCAAGTTTGGATAATGGAGCGATGACAAGTGGTAGGCTATCATCAACTCCAGCTTCACCACAAAAAGCAGCACCTCAGCTACATCTGTTTTCTACTACCAATGGAGCACACAGGTCAGCACAATCAGCAAAGGGTTCTTCACCTCGGACACAGAACAAACCGCCACCTATTCTGCCACCAAAGTTCACCAACAGAAATGAACGCGCAGGCTCTCCAGTCGGTAAATCCGATGTCAGACAATCTATTGAAACTCCCATCGGGGAAAGCCCATCTTTATCACGATACAATGGTTTGGGCAACAGTAATCCTTTTTCCTCTCCCGCTCCTCACAGTCCAACTTCTCTCCCACCTCCAAAGAATTTGACTACCAATGGCGCGGCTCGGTACAACCAGTCCCCTTCAAAACCTCAAAGCTCGCCAATATCTTCACCAATCCAACAACATGCGGATCTGCCAAGTCTCAAAAATAATGGAGATGTGCCAGTTCAACCCCTTAATGGGTTTCACAAAGAGCACAATGATCGTCGTAGTTCATTCAACTTTTCATCCCCTCTTGCAGGAGTTCCCGTATTGACACCATCTCAAAAGAATGGACCGATACCAAGTTCATCATTTGAACACAATGGGCATGCCGCAACGCCAAGTGGTGCCTCGCGGTTTACTATGATAACTGCATCATCCCCAGGATTAGATCAAGATCCACTTGATCCAGGTCATGCATCAGCTCTCCCATCTTCGATCAGTGGAATTTCTCCTACAAAACATTCTCCTCCGCGTCCAGCATCAAATGGCTCAACAACCCCGGCCATTCTTCCCCTAGTCGCTCCATTATCGCCGAGTCCACGATCACAAAATCTTGCTCCACCTGTTAAGCCTTCAGAGCCACAATTGAGTCAAAATACAGCTCACTAAACACCGTGATTATGGATCAGCGCAATTATGGGTGCCTGACAAGGGGTTTGTTCTGGCTTTCTGGTTGAATAGCCAATGATGCTTCTGCCTTGCAACACAATTTAAGCTTCTCATTTTTCTCTTTTCTGCAATCTTCGATTATGTTCGATCTTGCAGTGTACCAACCTCATATGCCATTTACCTGTGCAAGATTCACGCAAGCATATTCTCATTCTTCTCCCTGTATTACCTTTTTGTTTGTGAGTGGCGTTGGGATAGGGAATTAGAAGGGAATAAAATGGCGAATTTACATACCATGAAGATGAGGAATGGGATACATCGTTCTGAGATGAATGAATGGATGTATGAGTGTTGATGGATAGATGCATATCTGCAGAGCTATCTTTGACTCTGGCTTTAGGAGATATGACTTGTATTATGTTGAGAAGTGACAAAGATGTTTTGGAAAGGGAAACTGAATCGGTGGGTTGGTAGTTGTGAGCGAGTCGACTTAGTTGCATGAAATTCGAGATAAGATGAGATTACAAAATATCAATTGTACTCTACATGTTAAATATCAGTATGTTTATAATTTTTTGATTTCTGAGGTATGTAATTTGTGATGTGTGGTATGCTTGATGAATAGATACGGTGAAGACCAACACGACTTGATTTGTATTTCATGAGATTCATTAAGTATGTGCTTTTGAGCTGGCTCAAGTGGCCCTTTTTTTTGCCTACTTTATTTATTCTTCATATGAGAAATCTGAGATTCAACCTGATATCCATAACTCCGATCTTACTTGCTTGCCTCGTGCTCGAATCGGCCAAGATAGTCAATAGTATTGGGCTGACTCTTGAGTAGAACAATCGACTTGTTTAGTGCGTCTATTGATTAGCTGATTGATTGATTGCGTTCGAGTTCGGCTAAGTTGGATTGGAAAAGGCTTTTGGGTGAAGTGTTAGGAAAAGATGATGATGTGGAAAAATGGGAAGAAGGATGGAGAAAATAAAAAGAATAGAAAAAAATAAAAAAATAGAATGGGTTTTCTATTATATCTTTTTTTGAATAAATAAATAAATAGATAAATGAATAGATATCTTTTCGCTATAGATAATCAGACTATTTCTGATTAGATGGATAAGAGCTATACACACGCACTCACGTCCGTACGGTATAAATGTTTGCTCATTTCTTTCCATCTTTCTATCTATCTGATTCTTCTAAACTAACGAGAGCGTGTGTATATGAAAGATTGTGGATTGGAATGCGGATGGGAATGGTAGTAGAGAGAGAGGATGAGTGGGTATATTAATAGAGTAGGATAGTATAGTTACTTAAATTCTTTCTTTGAATAATACGTAGAATGAGTGGAAGGGTTGGACGAGGATGTGAGGGATTGCTGTGATGGTTTATGTATGGAGGGATGAATGGATGCCGTTGGTAATTGATAATGTATGTGTGTAAAGAGATTGGGGAATATCTGTAGTTAAAGTTTCATGTCGATACATCTCCACATTCACAATTCCTATCACTACCCAGTGTATACATAAATATATATATATATATATATAATGTAGAAGGAAGGTATCGTACTCGGTGTAGAAAATATCAATCCCCAACTCCCAAATCCCCAAAACGATAATTGAACAAACAATCACAGAATAAATCAAGTATCCTCATCAGTCAACACATAGCGTGGTTTGAGCATCTAACAAAAAGGGGGGGGAGAAGGGTATAGGATCAAAACACACACGAAAAGATCAAAAAGGGAAAAAGAGACATACAACAGTGGGGATTCGCTGGTGGTCACCCACCCAACTACTAATCCACCGATCTGAAGCTTGTGTATGGCAGAGCGGACGGGATGCCCAATTCTCTTCAGTCTATGGTCGTATGTGCCAGATCTATGGTTGTGTGAGATTATATTTAAATGGGTGAAGGAGGTGAGAGTGTGATTGTGGGTGGTTGATCACTTTATTACCCAATAATAAGTCCTTTTTTCAATCTAGATGTAAATCTAAATCTCAATCTCTGATATCCATAATAGACGTGTTATTTTCATTCCGCTTGGTATACCATTCATTCTATGGAGAAAGCAGATTGATTGATTGATTTAGTTGCCTATTCAGTAAAACTCTCTCTCTCTCTCTAGATATATACACACGCATATCATAAACCTCGCTTAACAACTGACCGCCCTTCTCACAATCCAACGATAAATTATGATTATCAAGATATTCTATAACTACCCGAGTTCCTAATTCCTAATCGAAACAAATATATATGTCTCGATAATTCGGGATGTGGATTTTGGTGCGCGTGAGTTGGTGGTTGTATCTATGTATGTATATACTTACGTATATGTATAGGTATTTCATGAGAATAGATCAATGAGTAAATGAATGAATAAGTGAAGAAGGGAGCGAGAAAACATTAAGCGAGAAATCACATTCTGGACTGGGCGTGGGAGAAGCTGGGTGAGCTGGGTGAGCTGCATGAGAGGATTCTGGTTTCTTAGGATTATTATTTGATGATTGATATTGTAGGGGAAGGGAAAAGAAGAGAAATGGGAATGAGAAGGAGGATTTGTATTTGTATACAAGAGGAGGAGGAAGAAGAAGAAAGAAAAAGAAATGGTTGACTTCTAATACACTGTTTCTGTACTCGTGATTTATTTATTCATTTTCGGTTAGATATTTCTCTGTTCATTCAGCACCTCATTCAACCATCTCATCCTATTCAAATCCAAATGTATATGTTCCTATATTCCTCCAACTCATGCATACACATACATATACACATATCATATCCCAAGCATCTCATACAAACCCCAACCCCTCACCTCCCCCCAAACCCCTCCACAGAAAAACCACACAAGAAACAGAATTCAAAACATATAACAATAGTAATAGCAGTAACAATCAAACAATCATTCCTCCCCTCATTTACCCCCATCCCAATACCAAACCCAAAACCATCGATATTCTACAGACTACAAATTCCATCCCTTTGCAATTTCAAACTTGTTCATTCCAGATATCAAATTCCAGATTCGATATACTCAGTATATAGATATCAATATAGGAAACTCATAATTCTTTTATTTATTTATTCGTTCACCCACCCCTCCAGCTTTCCCTTTCCCCGTATTCTCCCCCCTTCCCCCCTTCCCCCTTCCTCCTCAAACCAGACTCTCCCAAAAAGAACAAAAAAGAATCACATAACCCTCCCCCCCCAAAAAAGATAAAAAGTACTTAAAAATCCAACTCTCCATTTATACATACACAAAAAACACCTTATAATACCTCACCAATATCCTCCCCACAAACCACCAATGGTAATTCCCCTTGCAGTTTATCTCATTCCCCTCTCACTTTGTATCTACTACACTACACAATATCATACCATACCACACCCTCCCACACAATAAAAGACAAAACCACACACCACAAATAAACATCCGCATAACACCTAACCTAGTAATCAAATAATCAACCTACAAATAACACTAACAAATTTTACAACTCGATATGAAATTTGAATTTGAATTTCATTTGAATTTCATTTCCAGAGCTGGGTATTATTTATGAAGCATGAAGCATGAAGCATGAAGCATGATACTATCTGTACATAAAATACCATACATACAGCACAATCCAATATTGTAATCTTACAAACATACTCACACTCGAGGCATCACCCCGATATCCCTATATTTTCCAAGCCTAGCCTAGCCTAGCCGAGCTTATCAAACAATATGTCGCTTCATGGAAATAAGGAGGTGAGTATTGTACAGTGTACACGAGGTATCTCCCACCCACCCACACATCACACATCACACATCACCTATTTGTGATGATCATACAGGGTCTACTCACCCTTTTTAATTTTACCTCTCCTGCCTCATCATTCTCATTATTCATTTTCCTCTCCCTCATTTCCCTGTTCCCATGGTTTCTTTTCCTTGTCACCTGCAAACCAAGTTATTCCAGAACGTCCTAGACTTCTCAATCCACCTTTAATCCATCCCTCGACCTCCTCTTCACTAACTACGATCCTTTTCGCCTTTTCTTCATCTTCAGCCGTCAATTCAGCTTTACGCATTCGAGATGCGATTCTCTGATCCAAAACAATGGGTTCTAACCATATTCTCTCTGGATCCGTAGGAGTACGAGTGCGAATGGATTTATGCCATTCTTTCTCTTCTTCTTGGAGAAGAGTGGCTTGTTCTGATTCTGGAGATTCGGACGAGGAATTAGCATCGTGATAGGGACGATAGGTAGCGAGGATGATGGCAGCAGTGTCACGACCGATTTGATCGGCGAGATGACGACGATTAAGGAAGCGACGGAGACGGGTGGGGGTATTGAGAAAACCGAGGATGTGAGGGAATGAGATTGCGGCTGAAGGGTCTAGTTCTGCGGGGCAAGATGAAGGGAGAGTTGCGGATGCGTATTCTGAGGTTGAGATGAAGGGGGGTAAGTGTGATGGTTTTTCTTTCTTCTCCTCCGCTGGTTTTTCTTCAGGACTTGGGGTGGTAGTAGATGATGCATCTTCGGGTTTAGAGGGATCGCTGTTGGTGCTTGTGTGAATTGTTTTTCCTAGGATAGAATCGACAGGAGTTTCGGCTTCCGAGGTTGGAGCTGGGGTGTCTGCTACTTCTGGGCTTCCTTCCACAGGTTTAGGGGGCTCGGTTAATGGACCTAACCAACCCTCATGTACACCCCTGATGTATTCTTTCCACGTGTGTCGTCCAAGTACTATATCACCTCTTGGCCCATCAAACTCCTTAATTCCAGCATTCTTCCTTGTCGATAAAATAGGATCCTGTCCCTCTCTACTCTCCTCAAATGGTAATCTTGCATTACGAATCTTCTCCGCCAATTCCGCTCGAATATCACCCTCTTTCCTCCCCTGTATAAATTCCCAATCCAAACCTGAAGCTACCAATATCGGCTTAACATATTCCTTGAAATGATCTTGCGCAACCCGTAATCCGTCAGTTGGAGGTCCTTCGAGGAAAACCGTAAGTTTCCTTGGCATGGTACGAGAATCCCCTAGAGGTTCTTTCGCAATGTGTTCCACCAGTTTACACCATTTCCTCTGCGCTCTCTTCTTTTCTCTCTTATCGTAGATGACGGCTGCTGTGAAAGATCCAGTGATGGAAAGGAATATCATCCAATTGCGGGAAGGGACTCTAGGTCTAAAGTTTTCGCCAAATCCGAGGTATTTCCACATAGGATTGGGTGGTTTTTGTTTCGCCGCAGCTTTTGCATCGACTTTAACTTCTGCATTTGCAGTCGAAGCTGGCTTCTAAGGTCTTGTTAGTTTAAGCTCTCCATATAAATGTTGGGAGAAGGAATTTACCTCTGCATCGGGCACTTTCGCGTCTGACATTATGGAGGAGTGAGTGTGTATCTCTCCCCACCGTGAGACTGAAATTTGAGTGCTCCTTCGTGTTTTGAGCAATTGCTCTTGGATATATTACTGCTTGATCAATATTTCTTTGCTAGAGCTGAATCTTTTTCAGAACGCCGGACAAATCTTTCGCCGATTACACGTGATGAGAGCGTGGTTCTTATCGATAAGACCCAAAGTGATGGTTTGGTCTTGGCATTTTGGAGATCCGAATTCGCAAGGCCGGATAAAGAAAGGGCTGCATTTTCCGTCCACAGTCCACCCGTGAGATCCATTGTACCTAGCAGTGGACGTGATTCAAAATACCAATTGTGTAAGCGTACTCGTTCGTAGGTATCTTGGTAGGTATCAAGATCACCTGCGATGCTCAATACTACAATTCAACCATGTTGTTTGTTATGATAATACCTACCATGATCACACATTTTACACTTTTAGTCTTTTAGTCTTTGTAATGTGATTCATGTTGGCGTCGGGTAAAAGGGGCAAGGCGATTCCCGCTCCCGTTGTGGTGCTATCAACATAAAAAGGGTAGGTTGGTTAACGGATAGAATACTTTAGTCTTCACCGGGTCACTGCTATCATCGGAGAGGCCCATGAACCTTGATTTTACAACATCATTGAAATTGATGAGATTGACAAGTAAAGTCCAGTGAAGCAGAGTCAAGCAGAGTCAAGGAGAGTCAGGTAAAGCTAACTCGTAACCAAAAGCCAACTTTTCAATAAGCCACCGAACTTTCTTGCCAGATGTGTTTCTTGTGGTGGGGGGGGGGGGATCAAATTCTCCCATTCTACCGCTTCGTAATAAGTTGTCGCACCTTTTGCACCTAAGCAGTAGTGCAAAGCAAGTATTGTTCATGCTCAGACTCAGACAATCCCAAAAGGCGTAGCAAACTAATGAAAAGTAAGCTGCCACCCTACATAGGAGATACTTACGCAGAGAATGGGTGGTGGAAAATGTCGGACGGGCTTTTTCTGCTGGTGACATGACATTACATTTCCCGTTTTCCCCATGAGCCCATCTCCTTGTTATTCCTCTATGTTATGCGACCACCACACACACAACTTTTCAAGGGAAGTGTGTGTTATGCCGAGAGATGCGGAGACCACACAGTGAAGCCAGTTGTCAATACAATATAATAATATCATACAATAATAATGGAACAGTACAACAGAATAGAGTGGAATACGACAGAATATTAGGAATTGAATGGGGAAGGGGAAGAGAAGAGGAGGATTTTCATCTGATTTTTATTTTCCATCACTTCATACAATTCGAGTCTCCTATGTACTGGCTCAACTGGGTGGGTAAGATTCAGTACGGAGGACAAGAAAGATATCAGACGAAGAAGGGAGCTCGTAGTGTAGAAAAGAATATCTAATACAGTACAGTAAAGCGATCGATCCATACGATTTGATTCAAGTAAATCTGGAACAGACTGATGAATACAACCTAGGTAAATACTTAACCTTGGAACTGCTTGTGTTGATCTCTTATCGAACCTTCTATTTTTAAAGCTAGAATCCTAGAGATCCCCTTAAACAGATGCATTAATCTATTCTGGGAAAAGCTTATCAGCACGTGATATCAAAGTGATGAGAAGGTTGGTATGTATTGAATGAATGAATAAGTGAGTGAGTGAGAGAATGAATGAATGAAGGAAGGAAGGAATTGCTCATACCCCGGAATTGGCAAAGTAGAAAATCTTTGTTGTAGAAGAATGGGTAAAGGATCTCTTTTCGTGCTTCCTTCCACGACCTCCTTGTCCATCCTCGTGATTTTACAGCACCATAAAGAGCATAGCATCGGAAAATCGGTAGGAGAGGAGAACAGAGCCACACACATCAATTTTCAGACGGCAAGAGCGAGAGCGAGAGCGACGCAACTCCACTTGCATTTTTACTTTTTGGCTATGGGCTGGGATAATGGTACCTTTTTTTGCCTAGGATATATGGAGGATGGGATAAGAGCTCCATGGGCGAATAGCTGTGAGCTATTAGCTAGTAGCTATTCCATGTAGCATCATACTGTGGAAATGAGGGAAGTAAGTTTAAGTAAGGGAGGAGAAACAAGAAATGGGAGTGAGTGAAGGAAAGGGAAGGAAAGTTAATGATGTAGGATAAGAGTAGAAGAGTAGAAGAATGGATAGTTGATTGTAGAAAGAATGCTGATGATGATAATAACAATAAGAATGACGATGATTGTGATGATGATTTTGATCTCTCTCCGTGTGTGTGACCCTCTGTCTCTCTGTCTTTCTGTGTTTTTCCTCACATACACATACAGATACAAATAAAGAAGCTGTCTAGACAAGAATGTAACGTATGTAGGTAGGTGTATAATACCTTGGTACTAGATAATAGGTCGTGAGTATAATAAAGTAATAGTAATATCTAGGTAGTAATCATACAAAGCAGACAAGATATATACAAGTTGAGGTCAATCACATATGATATAACCTCATCGAACTGTGTTTGTTTATTACTTTAGGTAAGAATGTATGTAGACTTATTGCCTTGATTTTCTAATAGATGTTTCCATACATGATGATGTTGAGGGGAACTCCTTTCATTCATTCATTCATTCATTCATTCATTCATTCATATACACAGACCTACATAGCTATGGATATACATGCCAATACATACTAGGTACATTATTCACTCAATCTCACTCTCATTTTATATACGTAGTGTGCATCTACCTCTCTCTCTGTATGAACCTAGTGGTGAGTAGTGGTGAGTAGTGGTGGTGGTGGTGGTGGTAGTAGTAGTAGTAGTAGTAGTAGTAGTAGTAGTAGTAATAGTAGTAATAGTAGTAATAGTAGTAATAGTAGTAGTAGTAGTAGTAGTAGTAGTAGTAGTAGTATAATAGTACCTAGGTAGTAGTAGTGATACTAGTAGTAACGAAAGTAGCAGTCAGTAGTAACAGTAACAATAGTAGCAGTAGTAATAATAATAATAATATTATTATTATTATTATTATCATCATCATTCCACTACCCATTATGACTTAACTTGGAAAAGGGTGGGAGGGAAAATGAGTAGGAAATGAGTAGGAAATGCGAGGAATACTAGGAATACTACAAATACTAAAAGACTAACATACTAACATACCAATAAAATACTAATAAAATACTAATAAATAAATCCTATCAATACTAGGAATACTAGGAATACTAGGAATACTAGGAATACCAGGAATACCAGGAAATGCGAGGAATGCATGGAAAACCACATCCAACCAATCATATTAATTCCTCACACTTTACTCAAGATCAAGCGAATTAATGGTAAGCTCATCCACGGCTCTTGCTTTTTTTTCCCCTACAGTTTGAAATGCCCGCAAAAATTGGATCACCCACCTAAATTCTCTCTCCTACTTCTTTTCCTCACCCAAATCTCTACCTACGAACTCTGTACACGCAAAATCACATACAACAACTTCTCTGGTAAGCAAATACCCAAATACCCAAATACTCTCTCTTACTCCTACGGTATCTTTATATCAATTCCTCACATATTGAGTCTCAATAATCTACTACTCTTGAGAACGCGCTTTTATTTATATAAAAAAGTCGAGTTTTCATTGAGTATTCGATCTATTGCTACTTGGTTTCATTCTCAAAATACCCAAATACAATTGCTTCTCTTTTCAACTTCATCGGCGCGTCGTTCATCTCTTTGCGTCGCGATATCACTTCAAACTTACTACTACTACTATCACCACTCATACTAAGAACAACTTCACTGATTCCACTTCTTCGCGTTTTAGATCAACCACTACAGTTAATAACTGTCGCCACTTTATAAATCCATTTAGATGTAAGTCTTCCCTTTCATTTCCATCTTTCATCACTTTCAATCTCCACGTCGTGAGGAAGTTATTACCTTTGCGACTGCATTCACCTCTCCAATTATTCACAACTCCATACAAAATTACTCCAACACCTTCATAACGCGCTATCACCACCAATTTGTCAACCACTTGCTCGTCCATTTTGTCCACCTTGACCTCCACCACAACCACTTTTCATACTCATCGTCGCATATTTATTACGGTCGCATAAACATTTTCAATCAATCGTACTGACTTTTAATTCTTCTCAATTAGACCCCTTTCACATAATTCAACATGCCAAAGGAAAAGGCTCCCAAGCGTGCTGCCAAGAAGACCGAGAAGAAGAAGAAGGGTATGTTAATTCTTCCTCGTGAACTGTCTCGCACGAAAACTCATGGACTGACTCATTCTTCACTAGATCCTAACGCACCAAAGCGTGGACTTTCTGCATACATGTTCTTCGCCAACGAACAACGTGATAACGTTCGTGAGGAGAACCCCGGAATCTCTTTCGGTATGATCTCACTCCTCTTTCATACTCACAATGGCATCACTAACATCACAAACTTATAGGTCAAGTCGGAAAGGTTCTCGGTGAACGCTGGAAGGCTTTGAACGAGAAGCAAAGAGGTCCTTATGAGGAGTCTGCTGCCAAAGATAAGAAACGTTACGAAGAGGAGAAGGCCAACTACAACGTAAGTCTTACAGTGCGTATCAATCATGCTATCAAAAGCAGAAATTCTATTGAGAGGAAACACGGGACTAAACAATACAATTTACAGGCCGATGCTGAGGAGGAAGAGTCTTCTTAGAGATTTCTTTAATCACTCAAACTTTCAATCACTTCATCTCGACAAATGATAGTCTTGATAGCTACCTATCCGACCATCACTATCAAAGATGACATAATCATACAAGTTGGGAGGTTCTCCGGGGTTATCTTTTCTGCTTTTCATTTGGGCTGGGGTGTTATGTTTTGACAGGGGAATGGGATGATCAACTTGTGCACTTGTTGCCGTTTTCCTTTTCATATCGGATGATGATCTTGCGGTATCGTTTTTTGCTATCGACGGATTTTTTATGGTCTGGTCTGGTCTCGTCTAGATGAAAGTCTAGGTCAAAGTCTAGGTCTGTCTAGATAGGTCTGGGACAGGAGATAAGATCATGGTAAATTTCTACAACCAATTGCGTGTAGCAATGATATCGTTTGTATTCTACATGTTGTCATTTGATTTTAAGTGTGATATAATTTTAACTGTGATGTGATTTTAAGTGATGTTGTGAATGAGATGTGAATAATAAATGGTTATGAAACCGAAGCTCTGTTAAAAATGTAAGGTGGAATGTAATTAGACCCATACTCGAGAGATTGGTACTTGTACTCGCCACTTCCCACTTGCCACTTCCAAAAACGAAACGGGCGAAACGGAAAGGAGGGAGGGAGGGATTCGAGATTGGAGATTGGAGATTGAAGATTCGAGACTCGAAGGATCTGAGACATTTTTGCCTTATAGCCTTGTGAGGAGTGAAGTGAGCGAGCGAGCTGAATCTGAAGTGGATACGGGTTATTGACGGGGGATTTTTTTGTTTGTTTTTTGTTTGTTTTGGGGAATTTTGGGGAATTTTGGAGGGTTGGAGGGGGATTTTTGTGAGGGATTGGGGATGGAGATGGCGATGGAGATGGGGGTGGAGATGGTGAGAGAATTGAATAACAGGTTTTGAGGGAGATGAAGATTAGATGGGAGATGAAAGGAGAGAGGAGTAGAGGAGAGAGGCTGAGGAAAACGGGAAAAAGCTGGATGCTGGCTTACTTGTTTGTTTGTATGTATGTGTGTGTGTTTGTATGTTTGTTTGTATGTCGTTTGTTTGTATGTATGTTTGTTTCTTTATTGTGTGCATTCTTCGGAAGTGGATATGTATACCTATCTATCTATCTATCCATCTATCTATCTGGTACTATCTTTATTTTGGGGGGCTGGGAGGGACGGAGGGGGGGAAAGGGAAAGGGAAAGGGAAGGGGAGGTAAAGGGGAGGGAGGCGGAAAGATTGACAGATGGTGGGAATGGATTGGATGGATTGGATGGATTGGATGGATTGGATGGATTGGATGGATTGGATGGATTGGATGGATTGGATGGATTGGATGGATTGGATGGTAGAGAATGGTGCGGAGTGGGGTGTGAGGGGTGGGAAGGGGAGCGGAGGGGAGGGGATGCCTTCTTGCTTGTTTGCTTGTTAACCTGGGTTTTCTATGGGATTGGATTGGGATTGGGATTGGATTGGACTGGACTGGACTGGAATAGGCTGGGTTGGGTTTGAGGTGCTGGGTATGTTTATTTATGTATAGGGCTATATGTTTCTGGGGAGCTTTGAGGGAGTCCGGGACTGATTGGTTGAATGGATGTTGGATGTTGGATATTGGATATTGGATATTAGAGGTGGGTTGTGAGGATGAAGGTGGTGATATCGAGATTGATGGAGTGGAGGGGAGTAGAGATCGAAGGGAGTGGAGAAAAGATAAAGCAAAGAGAAGATGAGAGAAGGAGAACGAGGGAAGGTTCTTTTGATGACTCGGAGGGAGGGCTCGATCATATGAATATATATATGGGAAACGGGAAGATAAGATGTTGGTACTGTACTGGGATGGGATAGGATGGAAGGGGGTGTTGTGTTTATGATCTGGGTTTTTGGGGGAGAGGTGCTTTTTTTGTTTTTCTTATCCGTTTTTCTTTCTTTTTCTATTTCTTTGGTGTTGTGTTGTGTTGTGTTGGTTGGTTGTAGTTTGTTGATTGTGGGTTTTTTGAGGGGAATGTGATTGTGGTTGTGGTTGGATGATATGGTGATGTGATATGATGATATTACACGATGGTTTATTGTCGTGATGCGAGTGCCTGACATTAAATTGGATTGGATTGGATTGGATTGGATTGGATTGGATTGGATTGAAATAAGTATTTCTAGCCATCCTTCCGCAATCATTATGCGACTGGTATGGGGTACGGAAGAGGGTTTCTTCTTGTGTTATCTTGTACACGTATGCTAGTGGACAGATTGGGATGGATGGATGGTATGCATGTATCTATGTATGTATGTACCTAGATATGCTTCTCTCTGTGATGTTCAAGATGGATCCATTTGTTACTTTAGTGAGTTGTGATTGAGTTGATCTTCATGAGTCGAGTTTGGTCTCGAAGTATTCTCATGTTGTTGTTTTTGTTTTTATTTCACTTCATTTTAAATCCCTATAGTTTGATCATTGGATATCTATAGTTTTCAAGAATCGAAATAAATCATCAAGGATATTTTCCCGAGGGAGGTTGTTGGTCTGGGTTAAATGCTGCGTGGATCACTGCATGATTGATATCTATTGTAAGATTAATATTTGCGGACGCGGATTCGATTCGAACCGGGTACCTGAGTACATTGTCCTCTTTTCTTCTGTCTGTTAATGGATGGATAGAATGGATGGTAGACTTGAATGATCTCCTAGAGGAGCCAACACAGAGATTTCTCTTATTTTGAAAACAGGGAGAGAGGTTTAATTCTGTTATGGTTTATTGGTTGATTGATGAATTGGAATTATCAAGTAACGTTAACGTTAATTTATCAAAATCAATGTATGAAGCCGATGAGTATCGGATGTGGCTTCGGCCTCGGCTCGACTATCATCACACAATTCCGTGTCATCAGCCGTAACCATAGAGTCAGCCTTGTACGATTCGCTCGTCGTGATAATTCAACCACTTTGCGAGAAGAACATTTTGAAGGCTTGGTGCCACTTCATATCGTGGCATTATAATTGCACAAGTGGCGATTTACAATCCATTTATTGATAGGTATTCTTCCACGATCATATCCCGTTGATAAAAGACATGAATGCTGATTTGATCGATGCAATTCAATCGCGCAGAGCTTGGGGAATTCTGGTTCGTTCGTCTGGAGTTCATGCATGCATGGTTGTGGTTGGAATCTTTATCTTTATCTTTATCATACATGCCTACATACATATACACATATACACATATACACATATACACATATACACATACACATACACATACACCCATCCTCCGAGAATGAAAATTGTAAAGTATACATTACTGGCTAGAAATGATCATGCAAGCAAAGATAATTTTTCCTTGGTCCCCGTACGTTTCTGCAGCATGCGATGTGAATGGAGAATTGCCAATGAATCATGCACAGAATTCGCGTGGAGAGAGATTAGAAGAGGGGAAGGTGAATGAATGATACGATATTTGGACCATTCCAATGATTTTTGACACGTCAGTCGTGGTAATGCTGCGCTTGTAGATTTGTCCACCGAAGAGATGTGTAATTTGTCCATTTTTCATCCGCAGAGCCGCGGGTGCTTGGTTGGGAGAATTTGATGGGTTTCGGGATTTTGGAGGAGGGGAATGGATAGTTGCTTTTTGGTGGGATTTATGTGGAGGGTTGGTAGGTACATATGTATGTGTGTATATGTATGTGTGTATATGTATGTGTGTATGAATTGGTTCGATGGTATTCGAGATCTTTACTCCGCTTTTTCTTCTTCGAAGCTTCAGTTTTGCTTCTTCAATTGATTTGAGGTGAGATGTGATATATTCAATTCATTTCATTTTATTCTGAGTTGAGTTGAGTTGAGTTGAATTGAGATTCATTCAAGTCCCCATTAACACTTGAAAATATATAATGAATTTCTGAACATACAATACAGCATAACTCATTGATTGAGTACCCATCTCCACTCTGCCATTCCAACGCATCCATACCTCGCATCACCCCAACTTAATGTCGTTCCAGCCCCAAACATCCGCAATAGAAGCATGGAGGAGCTATCCGGCTGTTGGCGCGAAGCCGCCCGCGCCGACGCCGTCGCAATCGAACTTCTCAAAATCCGCAGCCATCTAACCTCCTCATCCGTTGTCCTTCTCTCCTCCTCCTCCTCCTCCTCCTCCTCCTCTCATCCGCACTACCCCTCCCCATCCGATTCCCACCCCTCCTCCCCCAGCACCAGCGACTACGAAATCATCACCGCGATTCTCCGCCACGTCGAACAAACGTCGCGGCTGCTCCGCGACCTGCACGATCTCTTTCCCATCTTCCGCTTGCGCGTTCCCGTCGTGCTATATTATTTGACCGTCATCCTCCCGTGTTTGCAAAAAACGCTCAGGGATATGCTGGCGTTTTTGCTGTGTGATGATTGGTCCGTCAGAATGAAATGGATGTTGATGCATGAACGCTTGAATGAACAGGGCGGAGTGTCGTTGGCGTTGCGCTTTGTCATGTATGTGGATTTTTTGGTGCAGTGTGTGAGGTTGTTGAGTAGGTGAGTGAAATGAATTATTTTACGTTTAACTATTTGAGGGAATCGGAACGGATTGGATCGTTTGGAGGGTGCGAGATTTACTTCGGGTTCGAGTTCTAGTTCTAGTTCTCAATTTAACCCGGTGAGGTGAGATGCGAGGAGGAGTAAGATGGGAAAAAATTGATTGGATGGTGGTAACAGCGGTCAGCACACAGATCACCAACTTACGATCCCACGTCGCTGGAATTGCTGCGCTTGAGAATTTTAAGGCTGAGGGCTTTGCGGGGCATTCCTGGTATGTTTTTCGCTCTCTGATTTGGAGTTTCCACTATGGGTTTTGCTCGTCGCATTTCGCGTTGATACTCTCGTCTCGAAAATGGATGGTGAAAATGGAGAATCTGTATCGATTAACCCCGGAATTCGTGTTTACAGCACCGCCAATTCCGGTACAACCGCATCTCGCTCCTGCGCAGCCGAATCTTATGGAACTTGAGGTATGTAAGCGAATTCTCGGTATACTGGTTGTACTTTTCTGCTTGGAAATTTGTATTTGTGGAAGAGAAGCGAGGGTTTGGGGAAGAAGTGTATGAAAGGAAAGAGGCTGGATGTTAATAATGTTTAGAGGCGGCACTGGGCGGAAAAGATCTTTGATGATCATGCGCAACCGCTTTCGCAGGCGCTTTTGAAACATAGACGAGAGTATGTTTGTCTTTTTATTGGTTTGATTGGATATCTGGGAGCTGGATGGAGGGGATTTAGAGAAGGAGTGTGAAGTTTCATATTTTGGAAAGAGGAAGCATTCATAGAAGTTAAAATAATTGACTGATAGTATGGATATAGATCGAGATGTTTTGGTCCATCGATGAATCTCATGAAGTTGGGTATCCCTCCACAATCAAAAGTTCTGTTTAAATTGTGAGTACTAAATTTCTCTACTCTCTCATATCTTCTCTCCTTCAATGTGTCTTTGACTCTCCTCATCACTTTTCGTCTCACTAACTATCTAGACCCTTTGACAAAAATCATCTCTCCGTAACACTCTATCTCGACGATACAGCACTTCATCAATCCCCCTATTTACTCTGTCGCTGGATGGATAAACAGAATAATCCTCATTATTCTTCTTTTGGGGTTCATGAGCTATGTATTCGGAGACATGGAAGTGCGTTGTGTTTTAAGAGATGGAGTGAGTATAGGGAACATCCGACTATTTGGATGGCTTTATTTTTCAAGTGAGTGATGCTTTTCTCCGCTGTGGGTTTGAAAGGGAAGCAATGGTTAAGGAGAAGTGAAAGGGATAGTTTTTGATGAGAATGTGCTGACTGATTTGTGAAAGGACTTGGCAACGTTAGTATCTTTTTGTAAACTTGTTTTCAAATTGAATGGAGGATAGAAGTATAAGATACAATGGATAATAATTAAGGTTGCAATATAGGGATGGTGCTCTTCCACTGCTCATTCGTAGCACTCAAAGCGCGTTCCCAACTCACAAATCTGATACCAAGAGATGATTATATAATTGCCGGAGAGGTGAAGATTTTCCAAGGGTAGGTAACTATTTTCCCGAGGCATGGAAACTGGACGAAAAGAACGAGTTTCCAGATGTGAAAAGTCTCTTCACTAACACATCGATAAAAATAGACAAATAGTAGACGATGGATTCCACCACTCTCTCTTCGTCTACGAAAATCAAGAAACTCATACCCTACGACTTCACGCCGCAGTCGCAAATGGAGAATTAAGGAAATGTCCTATCTGGACCGCTTTTAGTATGGCTTCTTTTCTTTCTCTCTCAATCATCTTTCCCCTCTCCTATATCCTCTCAATTTGCTTAAATCCTTTTACGCTTAGCCTCCCACCTGGCTTCCAACACTCGCTAAGAAAACACTCTAGTAACCGACCTCCAAGTCACATCCGATACCTGGCTCGCCCGACATTCGCGTCATCGCGTTTGGGTGAAAGACTTGCATCTCTATGTTTTCTGCGATGAGTATTCGAGACGCGCGCAGGTGAGGAAACACGGGGAGTTTGAATTGAATTTTGTGCATGGAGCTGGTATGTTTCGGGTTTCTTTTCTCTTGTTGCTATCTTATGTAACCCCTTTATTTGCATCTCCTTCAATTCTCACACAAATAATCAAAGATACTCTTCAGCGGATGAAAGAAGAGATAATGCAGAAAGAGTAAGAATTAAAATAGCTAACATACCGAATAGCAGCAGATGCATTCATAAGCGTATTCTACCCCCTAGATTCCGACTCGGAATCCGAGAGCGCGATTGGAGATGTGCCGGGGAATGTAGCTGCTGGATTTCAACAGGATACATCGGGTTGTTGAAAATTTCGCTTCGGGTCTTATATCGAGCGAGGTGAGACGAGACGAAACGAAGCGAAGCGAAGTGACAATTCGTGAATCTTTAACATATAATTTGAGGGCTAGAAGCCAGCTTGATACCTATGATATTTAAGGCTTGAACTCAGTACGAGAAAATCTGCGATTGTCAGACACTCCCATCAATATCAATCTCTCGATTTCTTTCCTCACGGTTGGATTGGTGGATTTTATGGAGATTGTGGAGATTGTAATTTTTACGCTTCTTATACGTTCTTTATATTTTCGAAAATGTAACTTCTATCATTCAACATTCATAGTGGACTTTCGATGTTCTCTCTGCTGAATGCTGGATTTGCAGCTACGCTTTTCGGTTTTCTTGACTGCTCTTTCTTTTACTACTTATTTACTTTTCACTTCTTCATCTTACTTTCCACTCTTTGGTTTTCTCGCTTCCTCAGACTATTCTCATCGACCTAGGGAATCATGATGAGAGTACCCAATAGAATGAATGCATGGCTGAAAAGAAGAATAAGAAGAAGGGATATATATAACACAATTCCGAGATTGTTTTTTTTCCCCCATAAATTCGAAGGATTCGATATGATACTATGATACTATGATAATGATGTCACGATAACGCAATACCCGAAGATTGAAATTTTCGAGAAGCAGTGTGAATTTTACTTGACCTTCGCTATCGATTTGACTTGTTTTCTGTTTCTATGTTTTTTTGCTCCTAGTATTGTGAGGTTGTGTTCGGGTTGATTGATTAATTGATTGATATCGATGTCGATATCGATGTTGACAGTACTTGATCTGTCGCGTATATATCGCATTTGCGGGGTACGGCTTCGGATTATGGTTTATTGTAGGAGGAGTTTGGGCGTGTGATGTGTGATGAGGGATATACGATGTGGAACTGAAAGTCTGGAAGTTGAAATGAAATCGAACATGGGTATCGAAGGAAGGAAGAAAGGAAGGATTTGTGTTTAAGTTTTGACTATCGTGCTAGCTATAGCTCCTACTAAGCTTGATCCGAAATTGAAATTTTGTATATAATTTGACTACTTTGATCTATAGTGCGTTCGGTTGGCTGTGGTTCTCTCTCTTGATTGACAGTTTGATGTATCCGCGCTTGAATTGAGGTTTGAGGTTTGAGTTTTCGGTTTTCTAGTTCTGAGTTTTGAGGTTAGGTTCAGATTTAGGTTACACGTCGTTTCTTTCCCTCCTCCTTTTTCTGGGGAGGGGAGAAAATCAGTACTGAGATGAGATGTAAAGGAGATTGAATTATTTCGCTTCGTTTCGTTTAATTGGACTATAACCTTGTACTTTTATCCCGATCTTTGATCTCGAGAACTTAAAATGAAGGAGAAACGTCACTATATGTTTTATCAAGCATCTAGATTCGATAGAGGCGCTCATTTATCAAAACTCATTCAAACGTACTAGATATTCAGTATACCATTAAAGCATTGATTTAGATTTCATCGAGGGTATATAATCAAAAGATCTATAAGGTTAGATGTTTGAAAGTAACAACATGTGTTTAACTTCCTCAAGCAAAGAGGGTAAAATTTTTGGTGGAGTGTAGTACTTGTTATACAGGCAAGACTTCTTGATAAAACCTTGCAGTATAAGTAGTCACTAGGGCATCTACTAATTTTTTCTATCTAAACCCGATACTCAGATATGTAATAGGGAGGCATGCGAGCCGAGCGAATATATATATATATTAATGATTATGGGGGAGCATAGGATCATGATCGAAAACATATTACTTGAGCGAAAATAGGAGAAGCATTAATTAGTAACACGATAAATTCTCGCTCAGCGAGTAATTATTGGCTACCTAGGTCCACTATCATAAGTCTCTTGAGTTTTTGGGGAGCCTCTTTTGGGAGTTAAGGCTAATGTTGGTAGGATGAGAATATTAAATGGGGAGGGCGAGATAGAAAAGGGGAGAATGAATGAGATGATGTGTTTGGTTAGTTTAGTTGGGCTTTGAGTATGCGTTGTAATAGTTGGTAGTGAATAGGTAGCTTTGGTGTAGATAGTTTCAGTGTGGCTTGATTGCTGGTAGTCGATTGAAGATCCATTATATTTATTTAATCTATATGAAATGGAGCTATGTGCATGTGTCTCTGTGATACAGTAGCTGGGGAGTTCAAAGTAAATATAGAATCATTTTTTTGGTTTGGCGGATGAGGTCGTAGTATTCTTAAATGATTATTTTGCAGCATCCTAGACATAAGAAATAACTTATAAAAGAGGATGGGAAGTATAAGCTAGATTTTTTCTACTTTGCACATAAGAATCGATATATGAACGCTCGATTTCTATAGACGTGTAGTAGTTCCTATAAATTTATGTTTACGTGATAGCATTTCCAAATAATACTAATAACTTGAATTGAAGTTTCTTGGGGGAGAATTGAACAAGATCACTTTGGTTTGAATGTTGAAAGGAAGTTAGTATGATAGAATTATCACGTTAAGTTTATATACCTATCTCTACGTAAGCGAAAAAACAGGCGGAAATTTAGTACCTTTCCAAAGGACTTCTTTAATAGATTATAAATTTATTTAAAATGAAATATTGAAATTCAAAAAAGCAAATGAAATTTCGAGTCTTCTTTGTATCAATATCAAGTGTTTTTATTATTTAATATAATACCAAAATTGGATTCTAGTTGGTAAATTTCTTTCAAATGATAGTCAATTTCCGCCTGTTTTTTTTGCTTACGTAGAGCCTATGTAATTCCTTTAGATCTCGCTTGATGTATTTAAAAGAGAGTCTGTAAAATCCAAATACGATACGATACGTGAGTCAAATGGAGTTTCACAATTGAGTTTGAGGCAACGCTCATTCTAGTAAAGACATTAAAATCTCAAATCGTTTGTGAAAAAGGCAGGTGGGTGAGATTGAGTGCATATCAGATATTTTAGGATGGGAGTCGAAAGTTTACCGGTAGTAGCGCCGTTCTGTGTGTTTTCACGAGAGTTCTGTGTCATGTGGTTTAGGTGTTCAAAATGGAATAGCAGTCTGTATAAGTTGGAAGTAAGAGATCGTGTAGTATGCTTTAACTGACTCTGTAATCATGTTGAAATACTATAAGAATAATAAGTATGAAAGAATGGATACTCATATACTGATAAAGATGGACTGACATCAGGTCAAATAAAAATGGACATAGAGTATCATTCAGGACTCTTCAAGTCAAAAATTATGAAGTTATATCGTGACAAAGTATAGATAGACAGACTCGACTGAGAACTTACTACTACTATCCTGATAAGTAGGTACTGTATACAAGCAATCGAACAATAGATAGCTATTTCCCCAGGACATAGTATGTAGAAAAGCACTTCAACATCACCTCCATCACAAATGCCATCCAGTTCCTGTGACAGGAAAGTTGTGTTGCACGTCTGCATCTTAAAATTACAAGGGAGGCCCTAACAAGTCTTTCAATGGAAGAGAGTTTATATCTAGCTCTCTCTAGTTCTTTCCTCTAGCTCTCCTTAGCTCCAGGCTACTTTGCGCTTCTAGACCGCCCCAAGATCTCAACGATCTTTCAATCAATCTAAAATACTCCTTAGAACGAATTGCTGCACACCGGTATGTTTAAAGTACAGGGGTAGTCCTGACAAACATCCATATACTCTCACCTATATCTCAAAACATACTCCAAAACTCCTATTTTGACACAGCCTGTTTCTCCATAACTCCAACCCCACCAACCCCAATCCCGCAAAACAACCTAGCTCCACGTACGTTTGAAAAACTTCTTATATCTCTTCATCCATACTTTTTCCGACCTTGCATTAGCCGTACGCGCCACTTTCAATTGCTGTCTTGTATTATCAAGGACGGTGACTTGATTATCTATGATGTCATTCGCCATTTGTACCGTTTCTTGTAGGCTTTCAACAAGGGATTGGGATTGTGCGAGCTGTTTCTTGGTTTCGATGAACTCCATTTGCCAATCTGGAGTGACGACTTTGTATTTCGCTGGCGAAGTGTATTAGTATATCTGTTAGATAAAACAATGGCACAGTTTCTTACATTTGGGACATTTTTTTGGTACGTAATCGGACCCTTCAACGCTTTTCTTCGCGATCAGATGCAGACATTCCATTACTTCACCAATATAAATTTCCTGAGTTCTAGGTTGTAAAAGCCATTTGCGAAAATTCGCTTCCTTTTGTCGATTCATGGAATAGAAAATAAATCCATTTTTGTCTTCGGATTCTGTCCAGATTTTGCTCTATTGTTGTAAGAATCATACCTGTCCCGCGAGGATCGATCCAACTTACCGTGATCATTGTCTCCGCGAAGAACTCTACAGTGTATTTCTTGCCGCTGAATAGCTCAATTATCCATTCTTGTCTCTCTTCGTCTCCTAGTGGTAAAAGCTGTCGCATCAGATTGATGTGTATCCAGCGGCCATGAGATTTAGCTACATCTGATGTAGCAGGGTCATTTTCTAAGATTAGTGCCAACAGTTCAATGCTTGCTTCATATATAACAGGAACAGCTTCGCGGATAAAATCGAGAAGATCTTGTACCATGCCATCAGGAATAATACTGGGAGGCATAGTGTATAATGTGAGAATGCGGGGTTGGAAAGCAGTAGAGTGATATGCTTGAGCCTCTGTATGATATCTGCTCCGTGTTGCGACTAGAGAAATTGCAGAAGTTTGGATACAAATTGAAAAGAGAACACACAGAACTATTTTGTAGATGTTTTTGTAATGAAGGTACACTCGTTCTCAGAAGGAGTTCTTCTGTGAAATATTGAGATTTGTGTGTATACACAGACTCGGAAACTACCGAGCTCTTCATCGGACGAGAGTGAAGATATTCACAGCCTCATTGTATTCACCATGAAAGCTTTCAATGTCTATCCAAAGATTTCAAGCCATAATGTCCCATCTAAACAACAAGATCATTCTCCCATGCATGAATACGACAAGGATACAGAGATCCTCGACAATAATTGGTGGGGTTAGTATCTACAGAAAGGATTAGAGGTCCAAGATTTGAAAAGGATAATTGAAAGATCAAGGTAGAATGAAACAAGTTAATGCCTGAAACTAATTAGGACTTTAAGATATGAGACATCTTCGAGATCGCATTGAAAACGAGGAGTCCTGGAATTCAAAAGTTTACAACCAAAATTTAAACGTCACCGGGGCAAATGCAATCCTTCGTTGAAGCCAGGAATCACAATAGTATACTCGGGGCTGACCCGGACTTCCCCAGGTTGAAGGGCTGTTCATATACCACCACTAGTTGAGGAAGTGATTCATAAATACAATTATTCGATGAGCGAAAGCAGCTGGGAATGTTTTACTCAAAGAAGCTTGAAGTCGAGCTTTGAAGTTAGCACCAACATCACCAACATCACTGTCGCACAGACATCGGCTCTAGTGAACCTTGGAAAAGATAGCCTCGTAACTCTTTTCGCAGTCGCAATTGCCAATCGCAATTTCCCTAACAATTTACCAACATTCCAAGATAAGTTACTTCCTAAAGCATCAGATATGATATTTAAAAGCTGATATTCTTCTGGTGTATCCCCAACATCAATACATCTAACATTCTTACCATCGCAATTACACAAAAATGCCTACCTACCTCCTCCATGGTTTCCGTTGGAAAAGAGAGAATATCCGTATTTATGTGATTCTAAATGACATCGAAGATGCAGCTCCAGAATGGCTAATGGCGCCCTTGACCTCGAATGCTCTCCTCAATTCCTTTTACAAACAATTCGATTTTCTTCCACCAAGCAGTCCGGGTCCCATTGATATTGCACCTACTGCCAGTTCCCCCACAGAATGCACAACTCCCAAGCCGCAATCCCCAAAAACCCTCACGAAGAAGAACAAAAAATCCATGATCTCTTTAAAGTCACCTCACAAGAAGAAGTCCAGCTTAACATTGAGGAGAGGGAATTCGAATGGACAGAACAATGCTAGTAATTCGGGTTCGGAAACTTTACATAGTAGATCAGCATCAGGAGCTACAAATGCGATTTCGAGAGAACCGTCGCATGATGGACTGGAAAAGCCATTGCGATTTAATGATTGGAGTGCGGTCAAATTGGTCGAACAATATGATCCAGAGGATTTGAAAACAGCCAGTCAACCGTGGGCCTATGTGTCAGATTATATGGTTGAAATTGGTTTGGGTGTCAATATATGCGAAGAGGTGGAGAAGTATAAAGCCAATGTTGCAGAAGCAGGACGTGTTCCTCCCAATTGCGAGGAATTGGGAATGACTCCAGAAGAAATCAAGAAGAGGAACGAAAAAGCAGGGTGGCTTGATAAGTTGAGGCAGAACTTGGAGGCAGATGAAGTGTGCAATTGGTATGTGGTTGTCTGTGGGGATGAGGAAAGATGGGCTCCGGATATTGATTTGTCAGATGAAATGCAAAGTGGTGACGAGACTGAAGTAGACGATTCGCCAGTAAAATTGTCGAGGAGGAAAAAGTTCAGGGATTGGCTTAACAAGCAGATATCTTACCAAAATGGTGTACCAGATGGACATGGCCCTTCTAATGGTAGTCCGAACCATGTAGCGGGCACAGATACATAGGAGTGATGGCAATTAACATGCCAAATCGGTAGTAATTATAATATATTGACCTATACAAAACCCAAGTATAAAATTTGTATAATTTAATGTACTCCGTCCTGAACACCGTCGCTAAATCCAATATGCAAACAATATATCTTCACTTTTTCGATGATCCAAATCCAACGATGCCCATACTAGCCATCATGTCGTCTTCATCATGTTCACCCTCCACCCTAACATCTTCCCCATATTCCTTCTTGACCGCTATTTCCTTGTCCTTTTCCTCCTTCTTTCTCTCAGCCAATTCTCTCCTCTTCTGCCTCCTTTCCTCTCTTTCCTTTTCATCCTCAATTCTTCTCCCCTCCAATCTCTCTCCCAAAGTAACAACCTCCTCATGTTTCTCCCTCTCCAATCTTTCCCAAATCTCATCAATCCTCCTCCTCACATCCTCCACACTCGCTCTCTGAACCTCTCCCGTCTGTCCTATCGCCCGCAAATGCTGCATACTATTCTCATGTTCCACCCATTGCAAACTATCCTTGAAAGTCAAGTCACAAGCCTGACAGTAAAATCCCGCACCCTTTCCTCTCTTGCCTGTCGCTGCCCCGGCAGGCATTAATATAGTTTTCCCTACATTGGCAGATACATCGAGACGGTTTGCGCGCGCAGATGTAAGAGTTTCATCGCCAGTAAGAGGCGCGTAGTATTTTTTGCCAGCAAGCTTGGCTTCATATCGTAGACGCCCTTCTTCTTTTTCTTTGGCTTCTTGTTCGCGTGCTTTGGCTACATTGGCTTCGCGATCGTATTTTTTGCGGAAATCAGTGTCCGAGGCATTGGTTTCGTAGGCGCCCTTTTTGGAGGACATTGTTGCGTTTTTAAAATTGCCGTTAATGATGAAAAGCGTGGTGCGATCTTCGATTCTACGCAGGGCTTTCGATTCGTCTTTGAAGATATGGATTGCAGGACACAGCTCAAATTGTTGTCGCAAGTGATTTTCTATGTAAGGTTGAGGAAGGCTGCGATTTTGCCTTTCTCAAGGTCCGGGCGGTGAATGATGGAAGTATGAGCAAATGTGCGGGGCAAATTAATTTTCTTGAACTCTTGTTCGAACCCCTCACTTAATTGTTTCCACAGTACACAGAACAACAAAAATGCTTTACCTTATTGGTCTTGGTCTCTCTGACGAGACAGATATTACTGTCAAAGGACTTGAGGCTGTCAAGAAATGCGCTCGCGTATACCTTGAAGCCTACACAAGTATTTTGCTGGTGGATAAAACAGTTCTTGTAAGTCTATTTCTAAACCCGGGGAAGTAAGGCGCTGACTGATGTAGACATAGGAAAGTTACTATGGACGAGAAGTAATTATTGCAGATAGGGATATGGTAGAGAGTGCTAGTGACGATATCTTGGAAGATGCGCAAAATGTAGATGTTGCATTTTTGGTTGTGGGAGATCCTTTTGGGTTCGTTCTACATGATAGTTTCCTCATAATTTGAAGGTTATATGTTGACATAGATTTAGTGCTACCACCCATACCGATCTTGTCCTCCGCGCCCGTTCCTTGAACATTCCAATCTCGACCATTCCTAATGCCTCCATTATGTCCGCGATTGGTGCTACCGGTCTCCAACTTTACAATTTTGGCCAAACTGTCTCAATGGTTTTCTTCACTGAGAACTGGAAGCCTGCATCATTCTACGATCGTATTAGAGAGAACAGGAATATTGGTTTACACACATTGGTATTGTTGGATATCAAAGTCAAGGAGCAAACTATGGAGAATATGGCGAGAGGAAGAAAGATATACGAGCCACCGAGATATATGACTGTAGGACAATGCGCGTCGCAGATGTTGGAAATTGAAGAGCTTAAGACGGAGAATGGAGAGGGAGGGGTTTACAATGAGGAAAGTCTCTGTGTGGGTGCTGCTCGAGTAGGTTGTAAGGATGAGAAATTTGTAAGTGGGACATTAAAACAATTGTGTGACGCCGACGAACAATTGGGAGGTCCCTTGCACAGTTTGGTGTTGCTTGGAAGGAGGACGCATGAGTTAGAGCATGATTATGTAAGAGAGTTTGCGGTGGACAAGGGAGTCTGGGATACCATTTGGAAGAGAGATTATGAAGGGAAGGTGTAAATGTACATCTTCCAGAGCTATATGAGAGAAGCCAAAAAGATTGAGCATGACCACGACTGATGCAATCTATGTGAACAAGAATTTTATTTTGAGTTACCCTAGTCGCTTTACCAAGATGGGATGATATGAACGTAGTACGAAATACTTCAGACACGTCAATGTTGGTGCAAGAAGCTAGTCGCGACGCACCCCAAGAGCAATCTGTTCTACACACGAGTTAAAATCTTCCTAGCGCTGAAACTCACTTTCCCCCCCTATTTCTTTTGGCTTTTTTTCAAACGCCCATTAAAGAGAATCCTTGCATCCATCCGTCTCAAGCGCATCAATCACACCTTCTCATGTCATCTCTTATCTTCTTTCTAGTTCCTTGATCTTAGAAACCAGTCTGTCGTTCTGTTCCTCCAAGACAGCCAAACGTTCCTCAGATGTAGCTAGACGCTTCATCATTGTCCCCTTGGACTTCTTCAGATCCTCGATGAGGGCGGCGTCGTTAGCTGTGCTACTGTGACTGGTAAGTAGCTCATGATTTTCGACAAAACCAGCCAGATTGGTGACTTTTGTTGTGAGGGTTTTGATCTCTTCTTGCAATATAGCAATTCGATCAGTGTCTGGCTGAGAGTGGGAGGATTTTTCTGCGACCTCTTCTTTCACTGAAATAGATTCAAAGTTTTCTGACGGCGCAAGTTCCGGAAATTGCTGCCTCGAAGCCTGTTTTGGTCGGCACGGTCTTTGGAATCCCATTGTTGTAGTAAACGCGCGCGAAGAATGCATGGTCTTTTCTCGTGCCATAACTTCTTTGGTTAATTGCCTCCTGAAGCCATCCGCCTCTAATTTTCGTAACCGTTCATCGACGCACGCTGAATGGAAATCGCTACTTGCGTGAACTGCAAGGATTTCTAAACCTTTCAAGAGATTGAATGACTTATTGCATTCTTGACACTCTAGATATAGGATCTTATGGTTGCGCGAATAAGTAACGGTGTATGGTAAATCATCGGGGTACTGCATCCCGAGAAGTTCGACTTTTGTTTTAATCGATTGAAAATTTGAAGACAAGGCCTGAAGTTATCAGTTTTGTGATTGCATACTTCATGGAGATACTTCACATACACCTGCTGGTATACATGATTCATGAATGATAAGCTTCGAGGGGGGTTCGATACCGCTGGGAGCTTTTCTTTTTCTTGATGTGCTCTGTTGTAGACTAGAGGTTCGCAGGGAGGTCACTATATTCGTGCTTTTTGAACGAAGATTTGGTCGATCATCGTCATAATCATCATCACCACTCAAACTTGAATAGTAGTTCCATGGGCGTGGGCTTTTAAGACTAGTAGTCTTTTCGTTTGTGGTTGTGCTAACGTCTGGCCTCGATAGTCCTGCTTCTATTTGTTGTTAGTTAACCATACAGCTGAAAATTCCACACAAGTGCATTGAATTACCAGATGAGTGTTTGTCATTAGTATTTGTGAAACGGGATGAAGGCTGACGCTGGCTAGCGCTGGAAGACTGTTCCATTGTGTTGATTGTTAGAAAAAACCGTGGAAGTTTAATCAAGTGGTGTCAAAATAACAGATCAAGAGATAAGAGGGCTATGTTCGATCCAAAAGCGAGTAAAATTGAAGAGCACGCTTCAGAAAGGGTCGCGATCACGTCAGCGCAAGTGCAAGATACAGGCAGACTTTTGGTACTGCCCTTCAGCAGACCGAAGTTAATTTTGACGCATCAGAACTTTTTAGTAACGAAAAAACACGTGCGAAAGGCTTTTGCATGCGAATACCCGTGTATCCTACTCCATTGAATGATACTTGATGTCAGCTCCCGCGTGAACATGGATCTAAATTGCAACCGCGTCAGAGAAAAGTAATCAGACAAAAGCAAACGCACAGTATCGGTGTAATATCTTCAGCCAAAAATATGGAATTCAAACTTATTGGCTACTTAAGATCGCGGGTGAAAATTTTTCTATGCATCAACCCGCATATCTTGCGCGCCAACACCGGTATAAGGCAATTTTGAATCTACCCTTGGTATCCGAATACATCTAACCGACTTCATATAACGTTCGTAGCATTACCGCCGAAGCCAGTCCCCGACGTGATTACTGTATATTTTAAATAAATTGAATTTGTCAGTCATGATTATACTTGATAACAGGCGCTGTATAATGGCTTGGCTGTCATTCCAAGCAGTCTCAAGTTAACGACCAAAAACAGACACATTAGTTATACACACTTCAAGCCTCCCTCTCATAATTACCCTAAATTGGGCTGCTGTAGCTTCATTACTTCTCTTTGCAAGCTCTGATTTCCTCGTTCTAATTCCAAGATCCTAGAAACTTGCCTCTCGTTCTTCTCTTCTAATGCTGCCAGCCGTAACATCATCATGTCATCAGACTGTTTCTCATTCTTCTCTAGAGCTCCCAGACGCATCATTACCATTTTATCAGACTGCTTCTCGGTGCTCTCTAGTCCTGCTAGACGGAGCATTATCGGTCTGATAGATTGTGCTAGATCATCAATTTGGCGATCCCTAGAACTATTTTCCCCTGTCACCTCAAACCTGGCGGCTTGAGTAGCGATATTTTGTGCCTCTGCTGCAAATCTTGTGACCATATTATCGAAGTCTGTCTGAATGTGTGATACTCTCTCCTCGATGAGTTCTGTATGCTCTTTCAATTGCTGTAACCGGCGATTGTCTAAAGCCGCAGATACTGCCCCGAGCTTGCTATCATAACTCTGGACTTCTTTTCTCAATTGGGCGATTTGATCGGATGTATACCGAAAATTTAACATACATTTTCGCATAGGCTCTGCAGACACTTTGTTTTCTTCCATTAGACGAGTTTTATCTGTTGTTCTCTTTTCCAAGTTCACAATTCGCTCCACGAAAGCTTGAGATTCTAGCGCTTGTCTTTTGAGAAATTCAGTGCGTAAACTGTCTTGTTGCAACCGGTACTCTCCTGACTCACAAGCCATTTCATCTAACCACTTTTGAAAGCCTTGGGTACACGTTTCCAAACTGTCAAGTTTATTTTTGAAGGTTCTGAACTCAGAAATGTTGTCTTCTAATCGAACAATCCGGTCCATATAGGGTCGAAATTCAACTGCTTGCTTTTCAAGGAGCTCGGCGTATTGTTTGCAACGTTGCAACTGGGGCTCCACAGCTAGACCAGCCATGCCTGTCAGTTTTGTTTGGAACTCCTTGGAACTCCCCTCCAAGTCTGCAACTCGATCAATGGCAGCTTGAGAAGTACAAGATATCTTTGTTTCAAGCGCTTCTATGAATGATTCGCGTTGATATGAGTGCCTCTTGTCAACTCCCCTAACCATCTCCTCCAATGTGTTGTGATTTTCCGCAGTATAACCAACGACTCGATCTATAATAGCCTCAGAAGTCTTAGCCGGGAATGAACCTTCCGATTTTTTGTTAAGTTCTTCAATAGAGTTCTCCATTTTCTCGACCCGGTCTACATAAATACGAGGAAAATTTTGCTTCTTGATGATCTCAGAAACTTCTTTAGTGGCGTCATATCGAATTCTGGATATTTTCTGTTCGAGATTGGCAATCTGCTTTTGGTGGTTTTGGAGCTCGTCCTCGGTTTGCAACCGCAACAAGTCAATGGATCCTCCGCCGTCATTTAAGTTCTTCAATTGTTGCATCAGGTGGTCAACCTTTCGCTTTTGTCCAGTCAGCCTATTGTCCATCAGCTCAGCAAAATTAGTAGTGGTTTCCTTCTGTCCCTTTAGGTCACTTTCCGTCTTCGAAGCCAGAAGGCTAACGATTTCCTTCTGCTCATTCAGCTCGCATTCCATATCCGGAAAGGAGTTAGCTAGAGTATTCATGACTTTCTTCTGATCCCTCAGTGTGCATTCTGCATTCGATAGGAGCTTGCTTAAATTATCGATCAAATCCTTCTGTTTCCCAAGCGCACTCTCCATATTCGCCAAGCTGATCTTGTCTTTGTGGAAAGAGGCATCAGTTTGTGCTTTCGAGTCTTTGAAATTCGCATTGCATAATTTGAGTTCGTGTTTTTGCGTTTCCGAAGTTTGCTCTAGAGTATCTAGCCTTTTGCCATAGAAATTTCTCAGCCCAATTAGGTCTGCATTAAAAAGCAATGTTTGATCTCTTTGTTTCTTGATTTTGTAATCGAACTGGTGGTCTATGTCCGTAAGTCTTTCAGAAATATCTGCGACAGTACGTTCTAGCGCCGGAGCAGACGTTTCGCTTATCGAGGAAGATATTTTGTTTTTTTTCCATCCACGAGGCCTGCCTACAGGATTCTTCAAGCCTGTACTAATTCGAAGATCACTTGTATCAATTTCAGCGGGGAACGCAGATGCTACTTTACGGCGTTTCGATTTTCTTGGCTCAGATCCAGAATGGTTGACAGGTCCAGCAGGATCAACTTCAATAGAGGAAAGATCCAATGGCTCTATGTTCTCAAATTTCCGCCGGTTTGGGACTTCCCTGAAAGGATTTGGTACAGATGAATTTTCCATAGCCTTCCTTCGGGCCATAACTTTTGAGGTTAATGTCTCTTCCAAATTGTTTGAATCTAGTCTTTGTTTGACGTTGAAACCGTGCGGTGTGCCGGTCGCATGGTTTATAATACCACCAATTGCAGAGCCCTCGATTTTTAATCTGCGACCACATTCCTGACATTTGGCTTCCAGAGATCTATTCTCGTACGTAATGATATACGGCAAATCACTCGGAAAGTCCTTCCCGAGTTCGTCAAATTTGGCCTTCGCTTTGTCGCAAGATGGAGCCTGGAGAAATCAGAACCATTGTTGCATAACCAAAACAAACAGTCATTTCAAAGAATACGCGTTACTTACACCCTTCACTAAACAAGATTCATGTAATATTACCTTTGACGATCGGTCCGTTCCTTGTAGGTCATCATTCTGCCCTGAAGACAGTGGTACAGGACTCGCCGATGAGCTCAAAAAGGGTATGGGTGACCAAGAGTCCACCTCGCGGAGCCTGTCTTCGTGTTCCACTACTCCTAATATTTGTCAGATAGTCGCTCATTTTGTAGGGGCAAAAGAAGTTCATCGAGAATATACCCATTGATTGCATGTTTTCATCTTGTGATGAATATCGGGGAGGCACTCCTGGAGCATTCTTATGAAGTGCCTTCGATTCCTTTACCCGAGGATTACCAAACATTTCTGGCGTAGTCGCAGGATGGAAGTAAAAGATAAATGCAATAGATTGATCTTTTGATATGCGCGTATATTAAGGAAGTAAATGTACAGAAGAACCTGAGCGCGTGAGAAAAGAGCGCGAGGACAATGAAGCAAACACTCAATATTATGATTACCCCGCAATTCCTTTCGCGTTTCAGAACTGTGGGTGACTACATGTCCTGTATGCACAGAAATGCCCTATTCGTTTTGTTTTGCATAATTTTCAATTAAGCAAATCATTGATGACTCCGATTTTGATATAATCAGTGGACAAGGGGAAATTTTTGGCAGCAAGAAGCAGGATACCTTGTAGAGATGTATCTCACCGGACTAAATTTTAGATAAACAGCAATTCAAAAAAGTGGCGTGAAGCTACCCTACCCCAACAGTGTAACATTAAGCAAGAACCCTTCTTCTCGGCTCCGTTGAGTGTGATCTACCTAAATTTCGTCCGTCAGTCATATTCTGAGCCGATCTATTGCAAATTCTTCACTTCAATTTGTAATCTCTCATTTCTTCTTTCTAATTCCACAATTTTGGACACATGCATCTCGTTTTTCTCTTCCAAGGCCACTGAACACATCATCATTATTTCATTAGACTTTACAAGGCTATCTATTTGAAAATCGTTCAAACCATTCGTTTGTTTGACACAGAGTTGTCTATCAGGCTGTTCATCTCCCTCAACTGTTTGGCGAATTCATCGGTAACTTCTTCCACCTTTGCAATTCGGTCCAGAGCAGTTTGCTCGTTCGGAGCTTCAGTTCTCCTTTCGCGTTGTTGTAATCGGCACTTTTCGAATTGTTTAATTGTATGGCTCATATCTCTCTGTTTTTCAACAAGCATTGCCAATGCTGTAGTGTGTTCCTCAATGAGAGATTCTGAACGAGCCAGCTGCTTCTCAAGTTTCTCAATTTCAGACCTCTTAGTTTTGAGAACCTTGGTGTCGTACCGAAATAACTGAAACAAGAATTTTATATCCGCGATCTTTGCACTGATGGAAGAATATTGGTGGCTAGGCCTCGCATTCAAAGTTTTTTTCCCAATCCTTTTGTTCTTTGAAAATGCGACTACTTCCGGTGGATATGTCTCCATTTAAACCATTAAATTCGTCCAGCTCCTCAGTTAACCCTTCAAACCTATCACTTTGCTCCGTCGCTAGCCATTGAACTTCATGCTTCTGCTTCTCCAGAATATCTTCGACTCGCACAATTCGATTCATAATGTCTACAGAAGCCACAAATATTTCTCTCCTTGAGTCATTTGGTATCGGTATTGGGCTCTAGGCTTGAAGACCGACCACTTCGGCACCGTGTGCTAGCTCAATTATCCTTCCTGAACTACCATAAGTTGCCGGGAAGATGCGAAATCTCCCGAAAGGCTGGCACCAGATGAGGTACGTGCTGTTCGTTGGCGTTCCTTTGACGGTTGGTCATCTTCTGGGTCTTCGTCATCATCGAATGCACTGGTTCATATACCACCAAAACTTCTGCCTTGGACGTGAGTTGACTGCTACCATGGTAACCCTTCTTGCTCCTTTTTCTCTCGTCCGTCTGAAGATTCTATTGCTCTGGTCTAGTAGCCCACGGGGTTCTTGTCCCGTTCACACCTTCAGACTGTAGTCTTTTATCGACCCTGTTTCTGTGTATCTTAAATTTCGTGTGTACATAAACTCTTTCGACTGTTGATCTGGTGCTACACCAAACTAACACTCATCACAGCTTACATAGATGTATTCAATCTTGTAAGGGATCGTGTAAAGCAAGTCGTCTGGAGAATACTTCCTAGGACTTTCCAGTCCAGCATGTATCTTTTGCCATGGTGGGAGCTTGAAACGTCAGGTTCTAGGTTGTCTCTAAATGGAATCAGGGCCAAATCAGAGCCATAATTTTCATCTAAGATATGTATTACTCAAACACCCGGATGCAGGGTCCCAGTTGACTTGCAGTAAAGACTGATCAAGGACCATCCTTGATGTGCCAGCTTATCCAAATCGATCACATTTTCTTTTCCACTCGAATGTGCGTGAGATAATAGTCGCTTGATTTCTTCAACTAATGAAAGCCCGGGTTTGTACTTGATTGTTTTTGCGGCTGGTGGACTAGTGTTGAAATCACGTCAGTCGTTGCCCCTATAAAGGATCACGAAATCACTTCTGATATGAAAGTATGGTTATATTACGAAATAGATAGCAATTCACTTCTTAGTGAATTTGGATTTGAAATGACCGACACGTCTTACCAAGTGGCAAAACGTGTGAAGGTAAATGCTGGAGCATGGGTATGGTGATTTTACCACGCAGGAACTCATATTTAGGGTCCTCCTATCCCACCTGCAGAGCTCAATTCAATCCAGCATCACAATAGACATATGAAGATATTGAATGATGAAATAATTGGAATATGATTAGGTAAACAATAATTTTACATACCAATTAAAGCTTAACGCCTCGAAATGTCTAAAAACTCCCATTCCCACTGCCACTAATCAAAGTCATTTATCACTATTGATCTGGTCTCAGGCGAGAAGCTCGTTCTTGTACATCATCTTCCACACCCAAGTCACGCTATTCTAAGATCTGCAAACGTTTCCTGAGTTCAGTAAGCTCAATGGTGTGCTCGTCAGCCATAGCTTTTACTACAATTCGGCCATTATTAAGAAGCTTGATACTTTCCTTAAGGCTTGTGACCTCATCGTTGTGGATGTTCTTTGTTGTCGAAAGTTGGTGATTGGTGATATTGAGAGACTCACCGACAGACTTTAATATTCCAGAATGTCGCTTATTCTCATAAGCTAAGTGTTTAAGTATTTCCTGCTGGGTGGCAGCAATTTTTCGTTGCTTGTGGATTTTCTTGGAAAGTTTCGCTATATTTTCCGCTTGGGCATCTCGCTCGGCTTCTAATTCATCAACACGAGCCTTTAATGCTTTAAATTTTGTACTCTTTGTCGCTTCTCTGTCTGCACCGTCACGGCCGTCTAATGGCTGGTATTTTCCCAATTGAGGCTGTGTATGATTGCCAGGTGTATCATCATTGGGCTGTGTGACATCTTCTGGAGAGTCTGTAGGATGGGTGGCTAAAGTCGAGTGCGGAGTTTCTTCATGAGATTTTACCTAAAGCCAAGTTTAATTAGTCTCCATATTCACTAGCGATGAGTGAAATGACGAAATACGTACCAATCGAATTCGTTTATTGCTAGAAGGCGAGGTTTCTGATTCCATGTATGCTCGCTTATTTGCCTTAGAAGCTCTAGCATCGTCTAAGTCAATATCACCAGTCAACCCCTCTGAAGAATTTGGGAACATAGATGGTCCGACAAGAGTTCTTTTCTTCGCAAATATACCATCCTGGGTTTTCACGTTCGCGACAATCTCATTTCGAGGCTTCGGTGCTTGATTATCTTCGAGCCACCAATTCCATCGCGAGCTTAATGGGTCCCTTCCTCTGATTTGCTCTAGTCTCTCCTTTCTTAACTGAACAAATGTTGTACTGATCGTTGTCTCGCCATTGCGAGTCACCCTGCTCTCAACTCTATCGGCATGAGCAGCACTCTCGATATGACATCGTATATGCTGGATGCGGTCCTTGTGATGCGCAATCTTATAAAGCTTAGCTAGACAATCGTGACATTTGAACCAAAGCTTATTTTTCTTGGATACGAGCTTGAGCTTGTCGTTGGGATATTTCGAATTTAGACTTCGAAGCGCAGAGACTAATCCAGAGGCACCCAATCTATGATCCGAAGTATTCTTATCGGTGTTTTGTGAGGTTCGTAGTGGCGCGAGTGGCTGCGGAATTGGAGAAGCAACATTGCCTACGGGAGACTCACTTGGAAGGTTGGTGCGATCGCTACTCTCGATTGACTCATTTTGAACAGTGCTTGAGATCGATGCGTGGCCCATAGTGGCTCGAGTACGTCGGTCCTTTCTATCGAACTTTCGATTCTGAATTTTGCTCAAGCTAATTGCCTGACGAACCTATATCAAGCTAGTATTCATTCAACGAAAGTGGTCCAATAAACCAACTAATTTATCAGCTTCCAAGTCGTTTCCTGGGAAGTTAGCATGATTACAAATTTGATCTGTAGAAGAAACCAACCATTTTTAACTGACGTCACATATTGATTCGTCAACTTAGCAACGTCGACTCGGCTCTCAAGGAAGCGCTTGGGCTTTTTGACATTCTTCGTGGAATATTCTGGACCCAAAGCAGACTGCGGGGCAAGCTGATATTTATATGGATGTTTAGCGCATGTTTCAGTTGATCGATATTTATTGTTATCACATTTGGGATGAATGTTGAATAGAGGTGAATTTCCGCGTTCTATGTTACTGTACATAGTTTTCCAGCGTACTTCCCGATTCCCAGATGGAAGAAGAATTTGGACCTAGTAAACGACTCTTAGCAATCTTCCGGATAAAGTATGCCTGAACAAAATCCGATTACCTTAACCATTTCTTCAATTATCAACAGCAAGTCTTCTTCGCAAACACCGTGGTGTATGAAGATGAAATTATCAATGATGTTCTTCCGAGCTTGAGGCTCTGGGTCATTCAAAGCTTGAGAACGCATGATATGGAGAACACATTTCATCAACGACGTAGTTCTATCTTTGTTTTTGCTGCAGGGATCCATTTTGTCGCAGGGGTCGGTAGATAAAATTTAAGATAATGAGCTTGTAGATAAAGAAGGTCAAATAGATGCGCTTAGTTAGTGCAAGACTTGCATCACCCGTGGGGTCAGGTTCCTGGATTCGTGCCAGGAAAATCTGGGGAATTGCTTCAAATGATTAATAAGTCTTGGAAATTTATTAAACTAGCGTGCTTTTACCTCTCGTGTGCTTATTGATCACGCGTAGACGACAAATACGTGACGGGAAATTTCATTGTCTTCGAGTCAATCTCGCCTGTGAATGCATCTTTGTGGTTCGATAACACAGAATAAATATTAACAAGCACATTTATTATGGATTGGTCACATTGAGAACCTAAAGTCGTCTGCAGAAAGTTGATCAAATTGAAAATTTCTTCCACTTGGGCAATCGTAGAGAGTCCGCCGTCTAATCAGCTCCGCTCCTGTATTTTAGTTCAGAGGTTGGAACATTGCAGCAAAATTCATGGTTCATTCATCAATGAAGAACCGATTTCGAACGGTATAACGAGTCAACTGTTTTATTTGCCATTCTGACAATCATCCGGCACACAGCATGAACTCTAATGTCTGCCGTGGATCAATCTTCGACTCCCATTGAGGGTGTGCCGGTGTCTCTGATTGTTTATGACCGAAGTGAGGTACCTCGAAAAGTAGCCTTGATCAGCTCCCCAACAGCTTGCGGTAATCAATCTAGTGACCTGCCAATGTAAATCCTTTGCCTGCCTAGGGCGTGTTTGGATATCCAACATTTTTTTCCCGAACACTCAGTCTTGAACGACGGTGTAGAAGAAAGTGGGGTCATTACTTCAACGTAGTCTTGATTCATCTGCTGGCTCATTGCTGGAATAACCTGGAGATGTAGCATCAAAATTTCTGTGATGATGTACCCGAATTGATAGGATAGTGCGCTGGAAGTTAGATGATTTTGTTCACGGAATATCACATGACCATCACGTTATCTGAAAGAAAAAATTCAGCCTTCTAAAATCTCTCAGCACATCAGTCCTATGCAAATTTTGCACTCCATGAAAACGAGAAGAATCTTAGAGTACCTACAAAATTCCCAAAAATAAACAACAGCACCCACACCCCTTTTATTGCGTTATCGAGACCACGTTCCCCACAATCCTCACCCTGAAGCCTGCTCACCCCACTTTCATCAACACCTCCACCTAGTTACCTCCACCACAGCGCTTATCGAAACGAACTTGAGGCTTCTCGAACATTTGATGATATGCATGATCCTACGCTTTTTGTATTCTTAGCTACAACATCTCTAAATTTAACTTTGATAAGATTCGCTTGCAAGACAATCTTACAAAGGGAAGCTGATAAGCTTAAGCGAGAGTAGGATGGAAGGAACGTTCACTGAAGAGAAAGCGATGTGAATGTGGTATTTCCAGAGCCCCAATGTACGATGTGCAACAAATCTTTGGAATTGGTATTGATGTGACTAAAGAGTCATGGTTTGGTCAAACAGATTGGTAGATGGATGGTAAATAGGGTGGGGTGAGAGGGAATGAGCAAACGTGGATGACTTGAGTTCGTTGTTGAAAGTGATGCCCGGTGATGTGAAGCTTTGCACCTCAAAAGTCCTCGAAGATATCACAATAAAGCTATATTTGCGACGGATACTGGTGAGCTTGCCAAAGAATATATGAGCCTGACAAGCGAACCACCCGGTTCTCTCTCTACGAGCAATGTATCATGCCACCGAGCAACTGATACGGCACAACACTATGAAATGCTAAAAACCCGTAAGTACAGAGAATTGGACATCACAGCCACTTTCAAAAACGATATTAATAGAATTTCAAATTCGGTTATGCAACAAAAGTCATTACCAAAACATTTCAGGCAGTGTATATCCATCTCACCTGTCAATACTCAACAGTACAAATCCCAATAGACAGCAAGAAGCCAGAAGCAGAAGCGCTAAAATTTAAACAGTCTGCGGTACGAAAATAAAAATGACGTTAATCAAGGCAGAATTAATGCAGGGGCCCTGTGGCCCAAGGAACCACCGATGGACCACAAGGCTGACATATTTCTTACTTCCTATTAATATCGCTACCAGAATTCAATGCATACATTCTTTCAGAAATCAGGCTGAGCATCGGTACTGCCTAAATGAACATCTACAGGTTTCCGCCTGTAAGTCAGCAGTCGAGCTAATTTTCATCAGCCTCAACCGCGCGTTAAAATCTAAATATTTCCACAGTATGGTCGTAGAATGATAATTGGTCAGTGTGGAATACTACATTTCCTCAAAAACATCATCTGGGGATATTTCATGTCTCTATTGTTGTATATCTTAATTCGTCTCTAAAAATAGAAAGGCTCTGGGAAAATAAATTCTAGGCGACATTAATTCCGATCCGAACTATATGGCCTTCGATCTAGACGTCAGTGGCATTCATCTATTTGTGGGTTGAATTTGCATTCCATATTCTTCGAATTTTTCACATAGATATTCTTTCCCTCGAATATGAAATGAGCAAAATAGATCCCAAAGCTCAGCTTTCTCCCATTCCAACGCTCAAATCTACTATTGAACCACTCGCTGAAGGTATATATTAGCTTACAGTTGCAGAAGGCCAATTGTAGACTTTTCAGTTTTAGCAGCTTCAATCTCTTCCCCGTGTCCATAACTTGTCTCCAGGTTACTTCTCAGCTCAATATCTTACACGAACAAGGATGCGAGTAGTCCAAAGATAGCAAATGCCAATTCAACCTCCCACACAAGCTTCAGACTAACCACGAATAGTTTCACAACCTGCGCCTACAATTCCTCTGACAAAGATGTGATAAAAGCCTTCGAAGCATGCTCGTAAGCACCTCCAGCTCTGAACACTTTCTTCAAACTATCATCATCAATCGTGTAAATCACACTTCTGAATTTAGCTTCAAAGATACTGGAAGGTACGGCAACACCACAAACAAACCCCAGGCATTGAATAAATCCCCACGTTGCGGTCGCGGTTGCGACGTCAGATTCTGGGAGCGGTGCTTGTATCGCAGGTAATGCAGCTGTAAGCACAATTCCAGCACCGGCCGCGAAAACTATCTGTAATATGACCCAAACAGCCGTGGAAGAATTTTGGTCTAGAATGCCGAAGCACCCAACGGCAATAGTAGCGAGTGCAAACCCAAAAATTTGATTGAGTCTATAATGTCCCACTTTAGCAATCCAAAATCCTCCCAAAATGCCAAACGGAATCATCGGTATGGCTGCTGCGAGAGTGTGAATCCCCGATTCCTGCGGGGAATCTTTCAAGGCGGCTTGAAGGTAAACGGGGAGAAAATAGCTTGCCAAGTACAAGGGTATTCAATGGAGAAACGTGAGCAAAAAAGCTAAAAACGATGTTCTGTGAGAAAAGAGTCGTAAGGGTGTGGTGGGTCGCTTGCAAAACGGCGAGTTTTCAAAAATCATGTATAAGGGAAGAGCCATAAGACCCAATAACAATGGCAGCAATCTCTGACAAGATTCCCATGGTCTTTCCACATTGGTACCCGACAGCGCAATCAGAATCGAGGTAATTGCTCCGATCAACAAGGTGTTACCAAAGTAATCAATCTTTCCTAAGTTTGATATGGTTGGTCCAGAATGGACGTGGGAAACTCGAAAGAAGAAAATCACTGAAAATAAAGCCAGTCCTCCGATAGGCAGATTCAGCCAGAAAATCCATCTCCATCCAATAAGTTCTACCATTGAGCCCCCGACTCTAGCAAAGAGGATGCGTTAGCATTTGAATGACGAAGGTGTCAACCCGGTAAGAACAATTTATGAAAATTGATAAGAATAACGTCATTACTCACACGGGCCCAATAAAAGTGCCAATAGCAGACGCTCCATAAATCAAACCAGTATATTTTTGTCTTTCTCTCAAAGAAACCAAATCACAAACTACCATTGCTGGCAAGATGCTTAACCCACCTCCCCCAAGCCCTTGAACTGCTCGTCCACTAATCAGCATGCTAATATGACCTGCCCCGGTGCAAATACCGCTACCCAAGAGGAAAAAACATATTGCTATGATAGTTGCACTTTTTCGCCCAAAAATATCAGCAAATTGTCCATAAAATAGCTATAAAGCAGTAAAAGTAACTGTGTAGGCATTGATTATCCAAACGTAGCTTGATGATGATTTCAATTCGGCTGTAATTGTAGGTAAAGCGGTTGATAAGATTGTGGAATCAAGTGCACACAATACGGATGCAAGACACAAGCCCGGGAAAATTGCCCAAAATTGCCAGCCATGTCGTTTGATGGGGTTCGGTTCAGGGTGGGAATCAGAATTCCCTTCTCCAGGGGATGGTTGTTCGTTCATATTTGATCGTAATACAATGGGAATTTTTAACTTTGTGACTTTTCAATGAACCACAAAGAGTCCGTTTTCTTTTTTACAAGAGGATTGAAACTGTCTAGGTCGTAGGAAAATATTGGCTAAGTAGGAATTGGACACGACAGTAGCTTCGCAGTTGGTCCGCGGCGAAGCAATACAAACATTTGTTACACTTTTACCCGGTACACCAATACATTATAAATGAAGGTGGAAATGTGCTCTCGGTAAACAGTAAATAGGGAGGGGCTAGTCAATAAAAAATTCGCGCTTACTACACGTGACGTCGAAGGACCAATATAGTATACTAGGCGACCAACTGTGTAAAAATGAAATTCTTCCCGATCGCTGAGTCAAATATTGGGGTGTTCAGGTCTTCATCTGAATTGACAAGCTATAATTTTTTTGCCTGTTTTTCATCCTCTAGAAGCTTCTGGTAAATAAATGAAGACTGACGGAACGTGCGTTGTTATATGCAACCAGGTAGGAGATAATAAAATTACTAGTCTATAATCGATTCCTTCATAAAGGCTCAGTTCTAAAATGCAACTAATCATACAGCTTTGTTGGTCGATCAAATCAAATCAAAAAATTGCCATCCTCCCATCCAGAGAAGACCCATTCTCCTGGCAATTCGAAGTTGGCATTCGAATCTTGCATCTAGAAAGAATTAGGGCATAATCATCATGTTAGATAAAAGAGAAAGACTTACCATTGCGCCCCAGTCGACACCGTCAAGACCGGAGTTCATCGATGAATTGCGATTTGCGTCTGCACTCATCCGTGTTTCCTGCTCTTTGTATTTATCCGTAATTAATTGTAAACAATGATTCACACTCTTCTTAGCCTCGGTTATGATTCCCTCATCAGCAGGAGCAGCTTTCTGAAGAGCTTCAACCTGACCGCAAAGACATGATACGAACACATGTCCCTTGATATTAGTATCACCTCTAATTATTCGTTCAGTGGACCAATCGCGCCCACTACGAAGTACACGTAGAAGTTCTACCTGTTGAGGAGGAGGTGGGTTGATTGATAAAGATAGTGGAGGGTCCTCTTCAAGTTGTTGGTTTAGTTCCAGGCCAAGACCTATATGCGCATGTATGTAAGTACCCCTTGTGATACCGGATGCGGTCCAAGTAAGTAGGGTCCAATCATCAGGCTGGGATAAGTTTGATTGCTCCGGAAGTGATATTGCTGGCGCAAGTAGAGATAAGGAGGTTTCAAGGCAGACCTTTCGAGAGAAATAATAGGTTGGATTGACCTTGGCTCTAATTGCATAAGGTCTATGCAAGGCTAAGAGGAAATGGGTCGTGTAAAAGTCATGCAACTTAATTTGGAAAGGGTTCGGCTTTGGTTCAGAATCGAGCCTAAGAAATGACTGTAGTAATGCGGAGCTAGAACGACTTGCTGCTGAGAGCCTAAGAGTAGTTATTGTTAGTTCCTTAAGATCTACAAATTCCACGACCAGTATAAACTTGCATACAACGAAAAGTATCTCAATTCACGAATTCCTAAGAGGGAGTACTTACGTGGATCCTAGACGCAATGTATCTTCGTATGAGATCTCATTCCTGAAGCTATTGACGGCCTTTGCTATTTCGAGCCTCGTACAAAAAGTCCTCATAAGTGATATTTGAATTGAAGTTCGAGTATATGTCGTTACTGGTTTTGATATTGGTGCTTTTTTGGTTGTTTCACTGATTTCCGAATCATCGATGTTCGCTGGTAGCTCCGTATCATAATCTTGTGTATTGATTAAAGGTGACATTCCAAGATCTTGACTTGACTGTAAAGAAAATTCCAAAACTGTTGCCCAAAGTCGCCTCCGCATCTCTGCATAATATGGCCCCATCTTGGGAAAGTGTATCGGATCACGATGGAGACCTAAGGACATGGCCAAGTGATAGACAGAACCAGAGGAAATCCATGTGAGATCACCCCCAACGGATTTTACTTGGCGAGCTACGAGAAGTAGACAATGGATTTGTAGACCTACCATATTAAGGCGATGCTTTTCGGATGGTCCCGAAACCCAAGCTTGAGCCGCAGCAATCCAATGTTGAGCTTTGGGATGTAAAGAACTGGGCAGTATAGGATCTTCATAAAAGCTTGTTCCGATGGCCATCACGAGCAGCAATTTTATAACAAAAGCCATATCCGCCGCCGCGGGATTCTTCCAATACGATGCATATTCCTCTTCAAATGTTGGAATATGTAAGATGCGATAGGCGGATTCAAAAGTTCGGAAATACGCGTTGACAAGACGATCCGATGTCTCCTTTTCCGGGACAAAATCGCGGTACCCACTTGGTACCGATGATTTCGGACCTCTGAGTTCTTTTGCCTTTTTACCCACTGCCTTGCATTTGTTCAACAGATCGTAAACTTCTCCTCCCTTGCTTAATGGCCCAAGCTCTTTGAGTTTGGTCAGATGTTTAGACTTTGAACATATTAGCAATTGTTAACGTAATTAGTGATGCTTGTGGTAGAATATTAGTTTGGAGCGCACGCAAATGCCATGGTTCAAAGCGAAGCATGTGGGAAAAGACGGTAGATAGAAGCAAGAAGAGACTCTGCTGCATCGAGATAAAATGGAACGAACCAAGAAAGGATATAATATGTTAACCTACTTGATCAATTGAGTTTATCCAATGACTTTGCCCAAAGAATCTTGTTTTGGAAAGACTTCCTCTCAAGCTAGGGCCTCTGACGTATGAAGCGTGAAGTAGATTTGGGCCATCATTCATAGCATCAGTTTCAGATATGATCTGTTCTAACTTATGTACTCTGTCTAGGAGAGCTTGTACAGTTGGATCCGATGGGTTTTGATGTGGTACAAAGGCCTGCCCACGAAGTGGAAGTGGCCCTTCAACGATAGGGGTACTGTCACCCCAGAAGTTTGTAGAGTTCGATCGGATACCATTGGTTGCATTATCTGTACCCCCATTGCAGTTTGGTGATGCGTGGGTGGTACTTGCGGGACTGTGACCTACGGTCGAAGGTGTAGCAGGGTATTGGCCGTTCCCATTGACCCGGGGTCTTTTAGACTGTGGAGCTGGATCGGAGCTATATTGACATGCTGATGTCTTTGATGAGACGCATTGACCACATGGCATGTTTCGATCACATTTAATCTTCCGACGTCGACATTGTATACAGGACAAGGCCGGCCTGCGACGTTTTCGGGGTTGAGCAGGAGGCAGAGGTTGATTCTCTTCCATTCTCGACGTTTGCAAGACGATGGAATTGATGTCCATTGTAAAGAATAGAGCTGAATTGGATGTTTTTGACGGACGTAATGAATTCCGACGGTGTATTGGGTGTATTGAGACGGTCAATTCATAGATCCAACCGGTCGAAATGATTGGTATGTAAAGCAGATCCTGTCCAAAAAGGCGTAGGTATTTCGAGGTTGTACGGATTTATGACGGTATATTAAGTCGAATTGAAAACGAAATAATGAAAAGACCGAGATGGGATTATAAGGGAAAAAAGAATCGTGATCATAAGTCCTCATGCCATACAAGAAGCGGAGATAAGCGGATTGTTTTATAAGAATTTCGGACATTGATCCATTCACCCGAAAATACCGGATGATGGAAAGTAAGAGCTAACACCAGAACGGAAACGCTTAGGATTACTAAGAAACCCTGGGGCGGATACTGTAGAGCTTGAACCAATCAGACTATATCATGTTCGTGAAGCTCGCTCTTCCCGGATTTAAAGAATTGTCCGTGACATATTCTCATCATTTCCGATCGACTCAATGAGGAAGACGGGGCAAAGAGGAAGGATCGGCGTCGTCGTCGATTATGTCCACACCCCTTGTCATCATCTTACGATGATAGAATGTGAAGATAAAGGATAGGTGGTTGATCATTATTCAGACTTGTATGGCCATCAACAAACTCACAACTAAGAACTTGTTAAACATTGACCTTCGTAACTTCATCAAAGTTTGGACGCAATACCAAGAAACTATCAATTTCCGGATCATCCCTGCCCGCAAAACAATCGACGCGAAGCACGGAATATCCGCGTTTTCCTATCCACAATGGAATCCACCAAAACCCATAAGGCTAAGGATGACCCCACAAGCACCGGCAGACCCGTAGATTCCGACGTTGACATCGAGAGATCAGTGGAGAAGGCGGAAACCAAGAACGAAAGATTGGAAGCGATTCAAAGCGAAGCCGAAAAGCAAAATGCGTTTATTATGGATTTTCCTGATGGAGGAGCAAAGGCTTGGTCCGTAGCAGCAGGAGCAGCAGGAGTTTTATTCTGTACATTCGGATATATAAATGCTTTCGGTAGGTCTTTCCGAACGTCACAACTCCCGTTTGATGTTTCAAGATTGTTCAACCATTGTCTCTCCTTTAAAAATAGCGCCATTTTTGAAAATTAGCGACAACTAACTATTTACCCAGGTGTTTACCAAGAATATTACCAAACCCATCAACTCTCTCATCGAACCCCTTCCGATATATCGTGGATTGGATCTCTCCAGGTATTCTTTCTCTTTAGCGGAAGTGCCGTCGGCGGCCCACTTTTCGATCGTTATGGAGGGAGAACTATATGGCCTGCTGCTCTTTTATACGCATTTAGCGTCATGATGACTAGTCTCTGCAAAGAGTACTATCAATTTATGCTTGCACAAGGGATCCTCGGTGGTGTAGCTACTGGCATGACCATGGCACCTGGAATGACAGCTGTTGGTCAATACTTTAATAAAAAGAGAGGCGCGGCAATGGGCATTACAGTCGCTGGGTCTTCAGTGGGAGGAGTTATATTTCCAATTGCCCTAGCAAAAATGTTTGCAAACCCAAAATTGGGATTCGGATGGAGTGTTCGGATCATAGGGTTCATCATGCTTGCAGTCCTTGGGATCTCTTGTACGACTATTCGAGCGCGATTACCCCCTCGAAAAAAATCATTTTTCCTTCCAGCGGCATTCAAGGAGCTTCCTTATATCACTCTACTGATCTCGGCTTTCTTGATGATGCTCGGCGTATTTATTCCAATCTTTTACCTCCCATCTTATGCCGTTCAATATGGAATGAGCACGGAGCTGGCTTCATACCTCATTTCGATACTGAATGGCGCTTCTTTCTTTGGTCGTGTTATTCCCGGTATTTTGGCAGACAAAATTGGTCGACTGAATATGTTGTGTGCGGTCGGCGTTTCTACTGGAATATTAGTGTTTTGCTGGCAAAGTATTACTTCTAGTGCCGGTATCATCGTTTTCGCGGCCATCTATGGATTTTGCTCAGGAGCCATCGTGTCACTAGTGACTTTGTGTCTTGCAATGGTCCCTAAGAACCCTCAAAACATCGGAACCTATATGGGAATGGGTATGTTCGTCACGGCATTTGCAGCATTGATTGGACCACCTATCAATGGTGCACTTGTCGAACATTACCATTCTTTTGATCAAGTTTCGGACTTTAGTGGTGTCGTGGTGTTGGTTGGTGGATTATTTGTTCTCGTGATTAAGGTTGTGGAAGGTGGGATTCTGAAGAGGGTTTGATTTCATGAATATTTATATCCAGAAACGAAAAGTGCTATTTTGCTTCGGCGGACGGGGCAGAACGAAAATGGGAATAGGTTATTGTTTACGGCTATAGATCACTTTTGACATGTCTAGATTGATTGATTCATCTACGGCGCAACAGATACCCAAGAGCGGTTGCTATTGTGTTGCGTGGAAAAATGCTTATGGGGTTTTGACTACAATTCACGATTTCTCTCCTCATTATTTTACGATCATCTTTAGAATAGACTTCTTAATTACATAGTCGGCATTTTTAATTCTCATCTACACGAAAGTTTGACATTTTCAATGAATGATTGAACCAAAAGGCAGTGAAGCCCAGTGTGAGAGGATGGAGCGATTATAAAGGGGAAAGCATCCTACAACTCGATGGAGAGAAACCAAAACACAAAAGACAGAACAGATGTTCAGTGTATCGTAAAAGGTCTAGAACAACCTGCAGAGAACCCCATTTCCGAATCACTTGGCAATGTAATAAATCCAGCGCCACACTCATGTACCCCAGATTCCACCACGCACAACTCGGACACCTCCACGTCACCTGAAAAGAAACAAGACGAAAAATGCCTGATCGATCCAATCCAGATCGTTCAAAATTTAATTCTTCAAAGAACCAAGACTGTCATGAAATTTAGCCTATAATTATTATAGTCACACAATCATCTAAGCGAAACACGCCAAGCGGCATCTGACTCGGTGTAATATATTATCGGAATCTATCTCCTACAATCCTAGAAAAATACCATTGCCAGAGGAGATATCTGGCGGAGATAGAGTGAATTGCGGAAGATTCCTTCCCCGCGTTTTGTTGTGTTTGGGATATATCGAATGCTTGTTCGTGGAAAGATGGGTGTCGATAGAGAGGCGGGTAGACTGGCCGACGGTGTGTTTTTCTTCTTCTTGTAGATGTGAGATGGGAATATGTGTTTCTTATCATTAGATTTCTTACGTTGTCTTGGAGATATGCAGATAGAGGGTTAGCTGAAGCAAGCATTGGGAGATATTGGGATTCCGGGCCGTTCGACGTCGAAGATGCATCATGTGTTGATTTCTTCTCATTTTTCTTCAAGGTTTGTCGTAAATATATGAATCTTCCGTGTATAAGTCTGGATCATGAGAAATCGGCTTCTTCTTCTGTACTTGCTCGCTTGCTTCAAAGAGTCACAATGCATTTGAAAACTCTCTCGAATCTTCTCGTTTTTGTGGCGACGGTTGCGGCCCATGGATATGTGGACAATGTGACGATTAATGGGATTCTCTATACTGCAAGTCTTTTCTTCTCAATCACGCATGAGATTCAAGCTAACATATTTTATCACAGGGTTTTCAAGTAAGCCTCTGTCAAACTGCCGATATGTATCCTATTGACGTAGTCTCCTCTTCCAAAGCCCAATTCAGATCCTTACTATGCTACACCACCCCCACGTATCATTCGTCCTGTTCAGGGCAATGGTCCCATCACTGATCTTACGCTTATTGATCTTCAATGTGGTGGTTATACCGAAGGAGGTATTGTTGGTTCTAAACCTGCGAATTTGACTGCGGGTCCGGTTGCGGCTGGGAGTACGGTTAGTTTGAGATGGACCCTGTGGCCGGATAGTCATTGTAAGTTCTTATGATTTAATTTTCCTTGAGTTGTAAAGGAAGATATAGAAGATCGTTGATTAGATGTAGAAATACTAACTAAGATTTGTGAAGCCGGTCCAGTAATTACTTACATGGCGAAATGTCCCGCTGCAGGATGTAGTAACTATCTCCCAGGCACTGAGTGAGTTTCTCTTGCCTCTTTCCCATTCAAATCCTCACCTCCCACTAACAACACCCCCCACAGCGCCGTTTGGTTTAAAATCCAAGCCACCGGACGCATCGGCAACACCACTGTCTGGGGCGACACGCCCCTCAAGACCGCCGGAAATTCTTACTCTTACACTATCCCCTCCTGTCTCTCTGCTGGCTCATATATTGTTCGTCATGAAATTCTTGCGTTGCATGCCGCGTGGACATATCCAGGTGTACAATTCTACCCAAGTTGTCATCAGATACAAGTTACGGGGAGTGGAACAAGTACGGGTCCTAGTATCAAGGTTGCTATCCCAGGTGTTTATAAGGCGACAGATCCCGGAATTGTTTATGATATGTATGCAGTTCAGCCATATACGATTCCGGGACCGGCAGTGTTTACTTGCTAGATGGGAGGGATGAAGATGGTGGTGAGCGGGGATGAGATGAGATGAGATGGAGAGTATATTTGTGGTGGTGAATAGCGGAATCGTTGGACTAGTAAGGCATGCGATATATTTGTACATATGTTGATGTTAGCTTGGATGTCCAGATTATCTAGCCGATATGACTACATGTAGTTTGATGATGGCTTCTTATGATTTCACTGTCAGGAAGACTGATGACATTGGTTTGGCGGTTATTCAATCGAAATTATTACCAACAAGCTCCATTTCATACAGCATTTGAATATTAGAAATTCAATGACTGAAAGATCCAAACACTTTCAGTGGGACACAAGCAAAATGTGAAATTTTTTCATGACAGAAGTGATGCCATAATAAAATCTAAGCTTATTGATGAGCGTATAAGATATAACTAACCTGAGTCATCACATATGTTGAGCATACTAGATGTACATACTCAGTCAAATATGCTCCAAAGCAACGTAAATAGTTTTCATTTGGCAAATACAATGATAATAGATTTTATCTAGAATCCAATTGGAAATCGATTCGACTTCATTTCCTTGTTCTCATTGAATCTAGTAGTCAGCACGTGTCTGAGATTTCATGTCTTTAGATATTCAAAAAACCAAGAGACACACCATGACGATAGCGTTTGCAGATTCAAACTTGGTCGAATATATTGTGAATGAAAACATAAAAAGTAATCTGAGTTTGTTCCTTGAGAAAATGTTGTTTGATCAATTTGTTGATGAGTCCAATGATAAAAGTTGTCCTGTTTGGTGCTCACATTTATACCTTAAAAGAGAATCTCTTCCTTCTTTCTCATCAATATTACTCTCTCATTCATTTTTCCACTTCCAAATATATATGATTGTAATTAGATAGTTGTCAAAACCTCTCGAAATATATAGACAGCTTTCTGTTAGAGACTTATCAAAATACAAGCAAAATGAGAACATTCTTTTGACTCTGAAAGATTTCATTAACTCTTTCTTATTATCTTCCTTCAAATTGAATAATATATCCTACCTTTCTTAAATTCACAGTAAATAATTTCCGAAATGATACTGATTTAATTAAGTGAGTCCAAAAATGTGAATGTATTCACAAAACTTATCATATGACAGGAGATTGCTGCCGAATATTCACTTGATTCGACTTATCAACCAGTTATACTGCTTGCTCAGCTAGTGACTTATTTCGTTTTGATGGCAACTAATACTGTACCTTCTTCAATGCCTAGGCATTTCAATCTTCAAATTTTCACTCGGATACTTCATCCTTTTCCACATCCACATCTTCTCATGTACAAGCAGTTTCCGCAGTTCTTTACATCTTCAATATTTTTGTGAGGTTTTCTTGTATAATATACAAGTACCCAACCATTACTTTACTATCCAACTTTAATTATTTATCCTCCTCAACCTCCAAGTAGTCAGCAACTCAAACATGTCTTCTACACCAACCACCTCTGCACAAACAATAGTTGCAGATCCCGAGGGAGATGTCTTACTCCTTCTCGAACCAACCGAAGCAGGACAAGTCAACAAAATCAAGATCCTATGCTCCTCGAAACATCTTGGTCTCGCATCTGCCGTCTTTAAAGCGATGCTCAGGCCCAACGTCTACAACGAAGGAACAACTCTCTCCCACGTTGGAAAAGTAGAGATTTCACTTCCAGAAGACGATACTGAAATCATGACGATCCTTGTACTTTTGATACATGGACGTCATTACCATTCCGACTTTCATCCACTGTCAACTATCGATTGTCTCGGTTAGGCGGTGATTCTGGTTGACAAATATCAAATGCACGAGGCCACCAATTTAATCATAGCAAAATGGGCACGTTCATATTTCCATGCAAGCCCGATTATTGATCACCGTTTATCTGATTTACCCTTCCTCTTCTTCATCGCTTGGGTATTCAACATGGAGGACGAATTCCAACAGGTCACTCGCCAAATGCAATACAAAACTGTTGGAAGCATTATCGATTCCGTGGCAAGTTTCCCTGTCGATTTACCGATTCTACACAGTAGCATTCGTAAGTGACCTTCCAGCCCCAACTCCTCTTCTCACTTCAAATACATCTCACTAACACATGTCTTTTAGAAAAACTTGAGAGGGCAAAACGTGAAAAAATCACACGCGTAATCGAAATCATCAGACAGATGATTGCCACACGTGAGCACCACACCGAAAGCACTTATCGATTCTGCAGAGCCATCGGCAGAAGTGAATCACAAGAAGATGTACTCGAGGTCTAACGACACAGGAGGAGATGCGATAGAGTTGTTCTCGACGGTTTAATTTCCGCAGCTTCGCAAAAAGATATCTGGCCATTAGATGTGGCACAGTCTCTAGTGGATACTAGCTCATTCTTTCGAATTGCGGGAAAAGCTACGACTCTGGATTTCACGACGGAGTGCGAGAGATTGTTAAATTTGCATACAATTCAGACCGGGGTTATGTTCGAGGTAGATTCTTCACACAGAATCAAGAATGAGATTCAGGATGGTGTGACATTGATCGAGAGACGGTTGATGGGCTTGAAGTTGAAGCGGGAAAGGGCGAGATTTGATTTACAGATGTTGGAAACACATCTTTGAACTGGTGTATGTAGATGCCAGAATTTTCGACTATTTGTTAGTATATCTATTGTATTTGAAAATGATAAGTCGGATTTCTATGGAGAAAGTAATATAGTAATAGAAAAAGTTTCGCACTTTAAGCATTAAAGATGTTTCATTGCAACGAGTATAAGAACTTGATAATTCCTTCTTTGTAAAATCTGAGTATGTAAGTTGCAGTAAATAAACCTCAGAGATTAATAATCCTTTACTAGATCAAGCAGACTTATACATTTCAATGAGACAACCAGTAATACTTCGTCAGATAACAGCTATAACAAAGTGAGATCTCCCACGTCTATAGCATGAATTTCAAATCCTGTATCGCGAAGAACTCACACACCAATCTAGATACTACATCAACTACGAACACAAAACTTCCCCTGGATATCACCTACACCTAAGACCCAAATAAGTTTATAACAGAAAGAAAGAAACTCAAACAGCTTTCATCTCTCTCTCTATTCCATTATTCAAACCACCAGTTCCTATCCACTCCAGTATACTGCTTAAAAACTATAATTTAACAAGTTCCAAATTTCCGAAACCAAAGCTCCCAGGTTCCACCACCAATATCAACACCAATAAAGCACCTTAATCCACCCCAAGCTCCTCCACACCACCCACGAATCTCCCAGTACTTTCAATCTACATCCCAACCGACATGCGACAAAACACACATCCACCACCCTCGCCATTCTCATTGATAAACACAAATATGCCAGATCCCACTTCCCTCGATTCCCGCGACGAATCCCTCTTCATATGCAGGGATATCACACAGCGAGGAAGAAGAAAACGAGAAGATTAAGAGTGGCATTTTATGGTGGATAAAATTGCTGAGATTGAGATACTAAAATTATAGTCGGCTGTTTGATTGCGATGATGGAGGGGATGGGGAGAGGGGGGTGGTTTATATTTGGACGGAGGAGTTTATGGAGGTTATGCTATTGACAAGGGGATTGTTGAATATAGTTTACATACTAGTCTTGGAAACGGGTGATTGTTCAGTATACAATTTCCGAATTGAAAAAAAAAAGGAATTATCTAGAATTCATAGTAAGGTTACTGACTCATCTGAACGTTACCGAGTCTAAAATTATAAGTCTCTGATTCTCAAACTGGAATTTGCGATATGGATTAATTAAGCCCATTGAAAACGTCTGTACAATACCTTGACTAGGTGCTTCATGATGACCGAAGTTTGTGACAGAGTTTAGATTGATCTGAATTAACAAACTGAGACTTAAAATAAAAACGATTTGTAGATGTTCCATCACGTCGATGAAGAAATTCATAGATGGACGGATGAAGTGATGAATAAGTGAGAGATTGGAAGTATAGTGCGTGGTTAAGGACGATACCTACTTCGAAGATCTTGAGAACGTAATATGTGAACACGCCTTAAACCGCGATGTGGAGATACTATCGGCTCTGAGTAACTTGTTGATGATTCTGTGAGATGGGATTTATTGGGTACCTGAGAGTTGTCATGCAGGATTGTTGGTTTCGAGGGTATTTTTATGTATATATGTGATTATGATGCGTTGCGCTCGTAATTGTGATGAGCTCGTGGAGCATATGGAAAGAACACTTGCGGATATTTTGATAAATGATAAAACCATACATTCGGAACACCTCTGGGAAATTGATCGACGCCTACATAAATTAATGAATCTAAATCTAAATCCCAATTCAAATCCAATAGATAACAATCAATCAGGCCAATCAATTCTGAAAAATACCACCTTCTTCAATAACTTTAAAAGCATCCATAGTATGTTTCCATATCACTTCAGCAGCCCCATCCTCCTTGTACTTTGTATACATCTTCGGGGTTGAATATCTTTCTCCCACAGATCCAACATTATACATACCCCCACCCGGCGTCCCATCTACCGCTTTCATCAACTCAACACGTCGCGGACCATCTTCCTGATCCCCACTCATACCCCTCGGTCTCCACCTCTCACTCATAAGCCACAAAATCCTCTCTCCACACGCCTCCCCCTTCGTCTCCCAAAACGTCATCAGCGGCGCCACCCCAAACCTCCACAACCACTTTAACCACCTAGGTGCATCCCCCTTCTTCAACATATCCGTCATGACTATGCCCGGATAAACATGCATCAGACTAATCCTCCCCGGATTCGCCTGCGCAATCTTCTCCATGAAAAATGTCGTCATCCAACAGACGTGCGAAGAAGCATAGCGGAGAATACTATGTGTGCGCAGAGAGAGATCGTCGGGGATGAGTTTACCATGCAGTTTGGGATTGAGGATTGAGATGACGCGGCTGGGGAGGGGGGAGCAGAGGAGGAGGGGAAGAAGTTGGGCGATGAAGCGCATGCGGGAGTAGTACATGAGGGAGTAGGTGGAGTCGAGACCTTCTTTTGTTGCTGTTGTTAATGTTAGATTTGTTGTGGATATCATTTCAGGGAATGGGAATCTAAGAGAGGAGGGAGATCAGGAGGAAGAGCTAGAGATGAAATACAAACTTACCATTCCGAGACAATGTAAGAACCCCCTGTGTCATAACCAATATATCAATCCACGCTTTCCCTCCCTTTTCCTTTTCTCCCTCATTTAACATCCCCCTAATCTCCTGACAAACGCGATCCACATCGTTCAACAAACTTAAATCTCTCGCTTGCACGAAGCGAAAATCCCCATGAGGACAAAGCTTTCTGCATTCGGCAATAATTGTCGTGGCTGCATCTGTATTTCTTCCAACGATGAAGACGAGAAGAGGTTGGGTACTATTTTTGGCATGGGCAGAAGCGAGAGCGAGGACAGTATGGGTACCTATTCCAGAAGTGCCGCCAACGAAGACTGCGATTAGGGGAGAAGGATGGGAGTGTAGGAGATGGGAGGTTTGGGTGTGGATTTCGGGGAGGGGAACCATGGTTGAGGATTCAATGCTGTAGAATTGAGGATAAAGGAATTGTAGTGATGCAGACTTGACAGATGAGTAGTTGATGAGAATAGCTTGATATATTAAACTCGATGGGATGAGGCTATTTATAAATACTCATTTGAATACTCATTCGGTGTATATATCTCTCCGATTCCATTGAAGAAGTAGATTATACTCTCATTTTCGATACACAGCCTGGACGACATTTTGTATCATGAACATATTTTTGAATCAATCAGAGGTCGAAGGAATAGACAAAGAAAGACGGGTAGATTGTAGATATTAAATCCCATGTATATGTATGTCAAGTTTCTTTGCGATTGGTTCGGATTTTGTAGAGGAACCGAAACCCGCATTCGCATTCGGATATGTTGGATAAGCACTAGGGGTATAAATTATTTTGGATTGGGGTATTCAATATGTAGCTAATTTCTGCATGTATGAAAACATTTCGATCATGGAATTTAATCTCCGAGTCCATGATAGGTCTTCAGCAGATTGAGGATCCCACGTGACTTCAGCTTTTCCCGCATGCATTGGAGACAGCTTTACTTGGAATATCTATCGTGATCTTTCTTTCAACCCTGGTTTTTCTCTCATCCACTATAAGTTCTATATATTCAAAATGATCTTTGTTTTCGCTTTTACCTTTTTCAAAAGACTCATACTTGAAATCCTACAAAGTTTCTACACGAGATGTTTTTACACCTCCTATTTGACTAGTAGACTCATAATCAGACTCTCTTGACTAGGTACATAGTCACCACTTCTCTTCTAACACGATTTCCGGCTTCTATTGTAACAGCAATTACCAAGTTTCCATAGATATTTGGTGATGACTCTTAAGCCATCACGAAAAGAAATGATGGCGGAGATTTCATGAGACAATTGAGTTGTGAAAAGAGTTTCTCTGTAGTTATTGAATGCCAAATATACCCGACATATCGGTTCTGCTCAAAACATGATGAAGTGGAAGATACTAAACGTTACTTGGTGAGAAGTAGCATCACGTGATTTGACATTTCTTGATGCCAAAAACGAGATGACATATACACATACATATACAGACACGTGCACCTACTCGATACAACCTTCAAGACAACAACTTCGATAACAACAACCCATAAATCCATTCATCAGACTCTATATTCCCACCCCCTTCATCATTGAGAATTTCCACATCAGCATATAAAGGAGCCTCTGCAGCTTACCCTCTTCTTCTTCTTCTCTCTCCTCTCACCTCATACCAACAAATCAAACCAGAACCACCTTATAATTAGAAAATTCTACATGCAGCATGCAGCTGCAGGACATACAGTCTCGTCTCAAGACTTGGAACCGATACATCATCACGAAAAGGATATTCCACCGAGTAGATTTTAATTTTAATTTTCATTTTGAGTTTTCAAGAAAAGTAACCTATTTGATGAGGTAGGTTATCGAAGCGCAGTGCAGTATAATACGCTTACCTCACGAGAAAAAGAAAAGATTACCCAGGTAGAAAGAGATAGCAGAGACGGTGAGGAGGAAATATGTTGGTAAGTACTAGGTACTTGGGTATTTATTAGGTGGTATAGAGAAACTAATGCAGCCTGACGTCTGACCCTGAAAGTTAATTGTCTATTTATTAGTTAGGTATGTACTAGGAGACTAGGTAGGCAGGTAGGTGACTTTAGATCTTGCAAAGTAATTAGCGAGAGGAAAAGAAGAAAAGGTTCAAACTCCCTCTTTTTAAGAAGTAGAGTACTCAGATAAACTATTTGCAATTCTTTTATTGATGAGTGAGGATACCGAGTAGCTAGATGGTAGCGTAGAGTCTCGAGATGATCGTCTTGATATTTATGATAGTCTACTTAGGTCGGTTGGTAGTTTAACTATACCACCAATCCAATCCAGTCCAACCAAGGAAGGAAGAGTATGATAGATAGATGCCGCGATAAACTTTCAGTATCATTCATCACAGCCAATATGATGGGGGCTGGGGTTACTAGGTATTTTTCTAGATTCTTTAATCCCGGGGTCGATGCCATGGTGGGGTCGTATTGGTGGATATCTCTTGTCAGAATGTCAAAATGTCATAAGAAGCTGGGTTTTTTGTAGGGTCCAATCGGTAGCTAGGTAAATATTCATGGGGAATCGTGGTAAGATTCTCATGCAACGTGGACTTGGCTGATGTGATGGAGTGACTAGGTATGTTGTATGACATCTGATGAATTGGATTGAATTATTTGATTGGAGATGAGATGCGATGGGATGGGATGGATGAGAGGTTTATAAAATGTATGCTTTTCCCTGGATGATTTTGTAGTTTTGTTTTTATCTACCTTTTCAATTTCATCAATATATATATAAATCTTCATCCTCTGCATCAATTTTCAGTCAAAGAAGCAAAGATACTCACCCGATATCACATTTAAGAATCAATACATACAACCGCCACAACAATCATCATACACATATATATCCACTCACCTCCAAACAAATAAACACACACACCTACACAACTCAGCACATCTCTCTCCTCCAAAGAAACCCTCAAAATGTGCTGGCCCAGCCGAACAAAATACTACCGCGAGCCCGTCGTCCGTGAAGTCGTCTATGCCCCTCGACCCGTTTCCCGAGGTCACCATCATCATCACCACCCCCGACGCGTCTCGGTTACTTCCGTCTCTTCGAGACCGGTTAGTCGAACGTATGTTACTACTACGGCTAGTCCGAGAGCGAGCCGAACGAGTTATAGTAGCTCGACTTATAGGAGGTATTGAGGGGGTGTAGAGTTAGGCTGAGATGGAGTGGAATATCTTTTATGATTGACGATGTGACGTGATGGATGATGTGATGAATGGTGATGGGTATGGGTATGGGTGTAAGAGGATTGGCGTACTGGTTGGTTTGGATCGGTTGACTTGGGACGGAAGTGGTGAGAGACAAGGATAGACGATCTTCGATATGAACATGATTGTATACGTGTGTGGAGCTAGCAGTGTTATCTAGCTGGCTATGTGAGATGAGATCTCGATTCTTGTGTATCATTTTTGTTTTGTTTTGGATTTCTGGGGTTTAATTGTATGATAATGTCAAAGGAGATACAAAATATGGGAGTTTACCCTGTGGAGTTTTGCTTGTTCACCTGGGGTGGGAGTTCTTTGATGAGATGGTGAGGTGAACGGGTATTGCATTGATGATTTGTGATCTTGGATGATATTGTAGAATGAATATCGAGACAGGTACTATTATGCATGTGTGATTAATTTTTCTTTCGTGATATCTACAAGTTGTGTTGGAAATATCATGCAGAGTAAATATCTCAATGTTTGCATGAAGGGATAACATAATAGCAATATTGTGAATAGTAGGGGAAACGTATATTTCCTATTCTTTCTTCATATGTTTCACTACAAGAGATACCTGCCTACCCATTCGATCCCACAATCCATTCCCCAGATTCCTCCTGTCAAATTATGGAATCAATTCCATCTCACAATGATTGAAGCCCAAATCTTGAATTTTACCATGCTTCAATGCAATAAGATTAGTCATCTTAGTCATCACCATCATCTCAGCAATTCAGACGATAACTAACATTAACTACTAGATATGACGTCAATATTAATGGTGGGGTAACAATCACAATAACCTGCATCAAGAAGCTTTCTTTGCTTCAATTATCCTTGTTATCAATCATGACGGTTTTCATTATCATCAACTGAATAATTATAATTTATATTAATTCTCGAACCTGGTCGACTATCGTGGAGTATATCCTCAACTTTAATCTACGTTATACCTGGTCTTTACATACATACATAGAGTATATCCGACGAGCTTTCAAATAGTTAGGTGAAGTGGCATAGTTCAACTTGCAAGGTTTGTTCTCCCCTGTCCTTTCGTCGCAAGAGATATCCTTCTATTTTTCCCTACGTATCTATATTGTTCATGATACTATTCATGATACTATTCATGCGACGGTTAAAATGAAGCAATCACACATCGAGATAAAATCTGGGAAGTATCCAGATTGAGATCCTTTAGTTTTTAGATCTATATTCATATCTTGAAAGTATTCGCTGCTCAGATACGGGCTGCGTTACGAGTACAAGGCGCCATAAAAGGAAAAAGGAAAGAGCTGATCAATCTTTAGATACAACAAACATAGGACTTTCTTGATTTGGCTCAACTATCAATATGTAAGTACAATTGGTCAATTTTATCGTTTCTCACATCTCTTAATCTGTACTTCAACTCCCAACGGAGATCGATCAAAAATGTTGCGACGGGCAAATTCCAGCAGAGGTTCTGGATCTGGCGAGAAAAATAATCCGTTAAAGCATCTGTTCGCACCCAATCACCCTTGGTTACACCCTCGTCGTTGTGGCATTCGACCCATTTTCAATTACGCTGATCGTCAAGTTAAGATGGTAGTCACTAATATTGTCATTATTAGGAATCGAGCACTATCAATTCGCTCCTCAGGAGGCAAATCCTCAACCAAAGATACCTCATCCTCCAAACATTTTTCCCTCTCTTCCCTTCGTGGAATCAATCAACCAGATCTCTCGAAGAAACTTTACAAACTCATCAAAACCGAAAATAATCTTATTACAGCATATGAAACGGCAGGTAGAGAACGTATTTCGATTGCTTCTCAACTTTCCGAATGGGGTGAATCCACTGAAGATGATGCGATTTCGGAAATCTCGGATAAGATTGGGGTTTTATTGAGCGAACTAGGTGACCAAGAAGATTATTATGCACATAGTTTGGATGATTCAAGAGGAGTGTTGAAGGCGATTCGAAATACCGAGAAGAGTGTTCAACCAAGTCGGGATCATAAACATAAGTTGGTAGAGCAAATTTCTAAATTACGAGCCAAGGAGCCTCAAAGTGCTACATTGGTCACATTGGAGCAAGAGCTGGTCCGAGCAGAAGCGGAACAATTGGTTGCTGAGGCTCAATTAACAAATATTGTAAGTTTTGTCGTTTTGAAGCCGTGAATGGTAGAGAAAAGCCAAGTTTACTGACAAAATAACTATAGACAAGAAAGAAGATCAAGGAAGCATATGATGCTGAATTTGCAGCCACTATTGAAAGAGCAGAGAAACAGATTATCCTCGCTCGTCATGGGCGTCGGCTCCTCAATCTTCTTGATGATACACCAATTGTACCAGGAAATATTCGTCCAGCTTTCGAACACACTGAACAAGCTAGACAAATCCTCAATGATGCCGAGGATGATCTTCGAGATTGGCAATTTGATGAGGAAGAAGTTCAGTCACATGGTAACTTAGATTCTGGTGCGATGCGTCAGGAAGGTGTTGAACATCAACAAGTTCAAAATGTAGAAGGTTCCGTTGTTGGTACTGAGGATGGATATCGTAATGAAGGAGTTCAATCGGAAATTGGTGAGAGTAGGATCAGTAGTGGACAAGAAATACCAGGAAGCTATGCTCCTAGTGCTGCAGGAACTTCAGTTACAACCGGTCCAATGGAGACGAACGAGGTTAATAGGGTTGTTTAATGTGGTGGATAATTCACATGACTTTTTGGTTGTTTGTACAGTATAATTGAAGTTTAATAAATTGTGAATTCTATACCTCATGGTACTTTTTATTGATTGAACGGTTGTTTGGATTTCAAGGGTTTAGAGCGCAAAATAAATGTGTTTCGATGTAAGAGTTGTAGCCTCAGCTTATCGCACACTAAGCAAAAACACACCAAAAACCCTTATTTCTTCAACTTTTGAATTATATATTATTTCAATCAAAAAATAAAATAAATTTTTTGAATAGATATTTATAATAATAATTTAATAAAATAATTTAAAAAAAATAAATAGAATATTTTTAATAATTTTTTTGAAGAAATTGTAAATCTTTGAAATCAAAATTTTCAAAAATTTCAAAAAAATTAATTTTTTTGTATAATAAAAGTGTTATATATAATAATTTTTGAAAAATTTCAATTTTAAAAATCAACAATTTTTCCAAAAAAAATTATTAAAAATATTCTATTTATTTTTTTAGATTTAAAATATTAATATTTTTTATATATCAAATTTTCAAATCAATAATTTAATATTTAATGAAATAATTAAAGAAATTAATTTATATGAAAAAACAGCTTTTTTGTAGGGATTTTATCACGAAATAAGGTGGTGTGCGATAAGCTGAGGCCACAACTCTTACAAATTGCTGCATCTTTCGCATGAGTGGATAAATCTTTAAAGTCAAGCCAATAATTCAATCAAAAACTACCTAGTTCTCGAACTTTACCTAGCTCCCCAGATCTTTCCGAGTACCAAGTTGTAGATCTTCTCACAGCCGAATGAAAGGGGAAGCGCGACGGATCTCGTCACCCGAACCCGGCAATTCTCTTGGCGAAAGGAAGCTATTTCTAGAGGGTGGGTGAATGCTAGGGGTTCTGTGATTTTTGTGGTTTTTTGTTTCGGTGATTTTTGGGGTTGGGGAGGGGGGAGGGGGGTATTTTTTAGTGGATGGTGGATGGGGAGGGGAGGGGAAGAGAGGGATGAAGGGGAGGAGGGGAAGGGGAGGAGGGGGAGGGGGTTTTAAAGGGGGTGGCAGTTGTGGGTGTGGGGAGGAGGGGGGTGTAGATGGGGAGAAGGAGATTTTTGGATTATGGAGGACTTGTAGAATGGGGAATAGGCATAGGAGGTTCTTGAGTGGGATAAGATGAGATTTTGAAAAAGCATCTCGAGTAATTCAACGTTTCTTACTATGTTGATTTCCTTGGATTCAACGCACACATTTTTGGGTTTCTCACGTATGACCGCGACCTTATTTAGATTACACAGTAATATACAAACCCATCGTAGCATTATTAGTGAACCTCACGAATATTTTTCGTCTTTTAGGAGTCTTCCTCCTATCCTACTCATAATTGTATTTTAAACCTAAATGTAGAGTTATATATTAATAAGATGTTGAATAGATTGGTGATTTTCTTTTCTTGTTGACTTTCTTTCTATTCGTCTTCTAAACCCTTATAATCAGCAATCTTGAGCCCCGACAAGAAGACTTGATTTTCCCTATTACTTTAATCAAACACGCAATTAGAATTGTAACGACCGTCAACAATTAGCTTTCCTCCCGATCATGAATAATTCAATGACAAATCGAGATAGGTTTGTTCAATTTAATTTTCTGAAAATCACTCCGAAAGAAAGCCTTTCAAGAAGAGGAACTGTAGTGTGATATAATTCATTATCAACAGCGCTTTTGATAATAGAACCACACATCACAGTATCACATATATAACGCTATTAATATTATCAGAAATAGATAGCAAATTACATATAAAGAGTAATATATTGAATGTATTGATTAAGTCTATATATCCGGAAAGCCTGAACATAGGGGTTTTATAGTAGTGTATATGTGCTACACACGTGCTATACATGTGATTTCCAACAAGAATAAGCTTCGTCAGGTATGAAGATTAGATTAGTACTTTAAAAACGATTTATTCAATATATGTTTAAGGTATCGAAGATTTTATTGCAGTAACGAAGCGTCCACTTCGTTAAGTACGGAATCTGCCACCACAGAGTATAATTATTGTTTACCTTTTTGATTTACTTATATTCCAATAATTGATTTAAAACATCTTTGCTTACAACTCTTTTCTATTCTGCACTTTTTGTTTACTATAGTCTTGTTCTTTTTGTTTTTATCTTTTATAGTTTTCTCTATAATCAAAGTGTCAATCTATGATTTCCAAGAACAATTGTGCAGAGCTATTGAAAGCGCGGAGCGAGAACGACAACGGGCTGAAGATGCTGATCAGCGTGCCAAAGACGCGCGAAACAGGTCGACCATGAGCGGAAAACAAGTCTTGCTGAATATCTTGATCTTTGCTATACTCATCTTTTCCGATCAATATCTATTCAAATCAATAAATCTCTTACAATCTAATGAGATATTACAAATCCAAAAGGCAAATTATACTCAAATCAACTTCATCCATAAATCGATTTTCTTTTGATCTAAAAATATATACAAGAGCGATTTCAATTATTATATACAGGTTATAATGAGAAGAGAATATTTGAAAACTTCTCCTTTGTCAAAGGGCTTGGAGAAAGAGTGACATCGGAAGAGATGGACAAATAACGCTTACTAGTATACAAGAGAGAGAGCAAGTCTTGGAGGTGGATCTTCCAGGAGTTCTCAATATACTATACTACCATTAATGTGGCCGTGCGGCTGACTGCAATCGAAAAGAAGCCCTGCCATACGACATCCGAAGCAACGGTACGACTGCAACTAACATTTTGTTACCTGAAGTAAGACAACGGCCACAAATTACATTACATACAGGTTTCCGCCCCCACGTGTCCACTATCACAACCCCGCTTCATCTCTGATAGATCTCACAGAGCTCAGTATCCTCTATTGTCACAGACACTATCGGCACTCAAATATGATGCGGATCCCAGAAATTGCATAATCTCCCTCCTACACTATCCCACTCACAAATGTAATGTATCTCGCGTGATCCGTATTTGTTTGGGTCAGGCCAATTGACCTGCGCGCGATAAACGTAGGGAGCAGGAGCGCGTGAACTATTCATACATCTTAGCTTAACACAGTAAATCTTTCGGCATAGTAGAGTGACTTACCACCAGCTAGGTCCAGTTTGACTAAATGACTCGGTAATGGTCTGCCAAGCCCAACCCAAGTTTTCCTGCAGCCAGAGCCCGTGCCGAACACCATCTTGATTCTCGCAACCTATATTTTTCCCCCAGCCGACTGTGTTTGTGACTGTATATCCAATCGTAGCCTTAAGCGAGGAGATCATCGGAGTTGTAATAGTAATACCGGCGTGAAGGGTCGTAGACTGCTGCTGCGATTGTGAGATACCGATGGAATCTCCCCGTCTATTTGTTTCCAAGCCGCCAACTCGACACCAGTCCGTCCACCAAGTTCCACGGCTATCAGTTGTGACTGTGACCTCTTTCACAATCATGCAGTGATCATCGCCGATTCGATTTGCACGACTTGGGTCCTTGGTGATATCCTGTACGGTGTCAGCGGAATCATTGGCATGAGTACAGGTAATGAACTCACTATCCATTCGAGATTGCTTAGATTAGCAGCATCAGAAGAAGTCCAATTCGAGATATAAACTGCCTTTACTTCTTCGCCAGCGCTAGTGATGTTTTGTGGGTATGCATGCACTGCCAGAGATAGCAATGAGAAGGCCGCTAGAAAGATCCTTGACATGCTTGTGACTGCTGCTTTGTTTGTAAAGATTCGAAGATAGACAGTAGTATAAGTATGATGCTGTGAAGATAGACTGCTAGCAATGGCAACGGAAGACACAACGAAGTGTATTATACCTTATAAACTGATGCTAGTCAGAGTTGCTCGTATGATATTCACCCATATAACAACTGATAAGCGGTGAATTCTTCTAAGCTTACTGCAGATGAAAGCTGCGCATTCTGCACAACAAAGCAGTCTCGTGTAGATCTTTTCGCTATCATCAGTGGAAGCTCTTAGCTGAACGTTCACCGGTACTATGGATGGAAAATAACTAACCCGGATTTTCATACGAATTCCGCAGTTCATTGGTGCTTGAATGGTATTGGGGATAAGTCGAAGGCAGGTGGCATGATTGACAAGTAAGCTTAGTATAGACTGGCAGAATCACTAAGTGAGCTGAACACACTTTATGGAGTGATTTGAAAATTTGTTCAGCTGAGTATAGAACGGCCACTATTCAGCTCCGTGTTTTAGCCTATTAACTTTATATACTTCTATACGGTTTATGATATAGCGTTCCTGTAGATTTTTCGCCTCTGACATATATATTGTATCGAGGATATGTTGGAAGCTGAGGTTGATGAAGCTTACTAAGTTATTTAGGCTTATATAAAAGGTTATTGTTGGAACACGTGACTTAGAACGTGTATATAGCTTAGCAATGCCCCTTCGTACGAAGGGACAGACATGAATTAATAGATTATTGAACCCAATACACCCCCTTACTAGGTCAATCCAACAATTATTATTTTATAATTCAATGTTTCTGATATTCTAGTTGTTATATATATAGATTTATATTCTCTATATATCATGGAGGGATAGTTATGTCGATTGGTTACTTTGATTATATAATAGGTATATATAATAATAATAATAAACTAGATTGACTTAAGATATAATTATAAGGATTATATCTATCTTATATACTCTAGTTAGGTAATAAAGTCACTTAATTAGATATTTCGAGTGAATATATGAATTAAGTAAAAGATTATATAGTGATTATAAGAGTAAGCGTATTAAAGGAGCGCTATGCTCAGTTACGTATTATTATATAAGATAGTAAATTCCGTAATATTATATAAATATCTTATTAAGTTAGTTAAAATAAAAAAAATAGATTAATAATTAATATTATAGATTTATTTATAATTTATAAATAGAATTTTTATTGAAATAAAATTTCGAAATAATATAATTTGAATATATTAAAAACGAATTTTATTAATTTTTTATTATTAATATAAATATAATAGAGAATCTAGTAATAATAAATTATGAAATTTATTATATAAAAATGTTTTCTTTTATATTTGAAAGAATTTAAGCTATTTTATAAATTTGAGATTATATTTTTTCTTAATTAGTTTATTAGTTAAAATAAATTTAGGGATTTCAAAATACTTTATAATTTTTTTAATTAATTTGAATTCTTTTAATTGAAATATAGTTATAATCTTTTAAAACTTCTTTTTAATTTGAATAGTGTTAAAAGGAATAGAAGTTACCGGTGCTAAGCATGTGTAATGATTAGTAATACGGTTACCTAAATGGGTTAGATTAAATGAATTATAGATAGGCATATTAATTCTTTCATATAATATTATAAAAAAATTAATATGTTTATATACAAAGAAATATAGTTAATATAAAAACCTCTTTTATCCAATCTTTTAATAGATTATGAGATCTGGTTAGTATAGCCTCTGAATATGATTGATACAATCATTATTACAATCCAACTCACAAAATTAAAGAGTACATGGCACTACCCTACAACCAGCATACAGTGCTGTGATTACTATTATCACCAACTCACAAAATTGAAAGAGTATATGGTATTATTTATAAATAAATATGTATGTGGTATAATAAAAAGTATACAGTGCTAATTATACTTATATTTATAATCTATATAGATTTATTTATATAAAAAAAGGGAAAAAAAATCTTATAAATTCTTTATATAAATATCAAAATAAACAAAACCAAAAAATAAAAATAAAAATATTCTAAATCTTATTCAAAAGACTTATAATTAATGATTTTAATAAATAAAAATACAATTAAAAAAAAAGAATTGGTTTTATATAATTAAGTTTATATTACAAAAGTATATTAAGATTAAAGGAGTTAGAATAAAAGTCAATAATATCAAAGTTTTTTCGATTTTTGAAGAAAACAAAATCATAAATATCAAACTCAATTTGAATAAAAAAATCAAATATTTGAAAAATAAAATTAATATATTATTGTATATATATAAATTATTTAGTAATAATAATAAAATACTTATTAATAAATATAATATAATATGAATATTATAAAATTATTTAAAATCAAAGTATTTAAGAATTAATAATATCATAGCCAATTTGTATTTAATAATAATTCAAACATTTATTTTCAAATCTATTAACCACCCAGAAATAACTGTTATTAAAATCTAGAATAAATTAAAAAAATATTGATATAAGCTTAATACTATCAAGTTTACATTTAAGAATTTATATAAAAACAAAACTCTATTTTTAATTCTAATTAAAAATCTTTTAAGTAAATACTAAACAATAATTAATACTATAAATATTCTAAATATATTAATAATAAAAAATAAGATCAAATATTTTATTACCAAAAAATTTAATATTCAAAAAATAAAACAAGCTTATATTATTAATAAAAAATATATAATCCTAAATCAATAAAGAGATAATAAAGAATTAAGTTTATTAATATAATGAAATCAAGGGGAAATAATTAATACTTATATTTACCACCTTTATAAACAAAAGGATCACTTTTTACATAATTATAAAGATCTTATATTTGTATAAGCTCTAATCCACAAATATTATAAAGCCCAATGATAAAAAGCAATATTTAAAAAAACAACTAAAATATCATTTTCTAAGAAAAAGAGTAATCAAACTTATTTTGTAGATGGCGAAAACCTTTTAATTAATCTCGATTTATTACAAAGTAAAGAAGAGTTTGATAACAAAAAATATTATGTTTTTAAAAAATTTATTTGTAAAACCATTCCTTTTTATTAATATACAAATACCAGTACTTTTTTATATATATTTAACTAACTTTCCCTCTTTAGAAATATTAAGAAAATAAGAAAAAAACAATAAAAATTAATAAGAAAATGATATATTATAATTAAATAGATATTACTATAATAAAACTAGAAAATAATAATATAATTTTATTTTCAAAAATATTATATATATTAGAATTAGAAATCAATTTTTTTTTTGGTAGAAAGATTTATAAAATCAGATTTAAAGATAGATTCAATTCAAATTGTATATATTTTCAAAAAAAAAAAAATATTATTAAAAAAAAATAAAAATAAAGGAATTTACATAATCTCGGATATTATGAAAAAATATGAAAATATTGTTTTATAGAGTATAAAGATTATTAATAATATTAAATCAAATAAGATTATTTTAGATATTTTTTTAAATAAGATTAAAAAGGATTTAGAAACTTATTTATTATAATATAAATAATTCAATTATTTTAATCTAAAGAAAATATGAAATTTCTATAAAATTATAATATTAGGAAAATCAATTAAAGTTTTATTTAAAATTCTTATATATAAAATATATATATTTATTAAAATAAAGAATCTAATCCCAAAACAATTCAGTTTTTATAAAACAAAAAGATTAAAATTTATTTATTTCAATATTACTAATCTATTTTTTATTAATCATAAACAATTAAATAAAAATAAATTAAATTTTGATCTTGAAAATAAAAGATGAAGTTATATTAAGATTGAAAAAATGAAAAACTAAATTAGAATTTAATATTGATAACAGGATAATAACTATCTGAATTGATAATGCATTAGAGTTAATCTAAGTTGTTAAAGAATAAAACTCTGGGATCTAATTAGAATTGATTATTGTAGTATTATTTTATCAAAATGGAATTACCAAAAAAAACATTGATATTACTAAAGCCAATATAAAAACTATATTAAAAAAAGCTGGATTGTTATTAGAATTCTAGAACAAAACTATTAAATATAATATATACTATAAAAATAAAACGAATATTAAATCAATTATCAATAATAACATTATTAGTTTAATTGAAGTGTTTACAAAATCAACCCTGGATATTAGTTATTATAGAATATAGGAAAACAAATACTATATATATATTAATTCAAAAACAATTTTAAAAAATTAATGGTATAATAAATTATAAAATACAATCCAAATAAACATTTTTATAGAATATTTATATATAATTAATAGATATATCAGAATATATTCACCAAAATTAAACTATATTATATAAACAAACCAAATAATTATAAACAAATCCAAAAAAGAAAGAAATTTATATTTAAAAATAAAAAATTTTATATTAGGATTTTAAAATATAAAGAATATTATTTCTAATAAAAGATTTAAAAGTAAACCTTATAAGATATAAGAAATATAAGAATCCTTATTTGAATTTTTATAAAATTTTATTATCCCTAAATCCCCAAAAATTGTAATCCCTAATATACCCAAAATCAATAATATTTAAAAATTCAATAAAAACAATAAAGGGAATATTATAGAAATCAATCTATCTATAAAACCAATTCTATTTTTAGAAACAAAAGAAATAAAAATATTAAATATAATATTTGAAATTAATAAATTTTCGATAGAAACCCTAATTATATTTATAAATATAGATTTTTTTTAAATTTTTTTTTTGAAAATGTAAATAAAATAATAATAAGTTAAATGAGTATATTCAAAAACTAATAAAAGTAATAATAACAATATTCTTAATAAACCCAAATAAAAACGCTATTGAATATACTATAATCTCTATACCCCTTATACCAAAAATTGATTTAAATATTAAAATAAAAATATCCAAAAATCTTCAAATAATCTTAAAAAACTCTACAAACAAGAATATAG